ATTGCACAAGCGAGGAGTCTCGGCACCGGAGATTCATAAGCGTCTTAAAGTCGACAGAAGTATCATTTTCCACACTATTCAACGCTACGAAGCTATGGGAACAATTGCTGATGCACTACGAAGTAGACGAACAATTGCTGATGCATCAAGCAGTAGACGAACAATTGCTGATGCACTACGAAGTAGACGAACAATTGCTGATGCACCAAGAAGCGATAGACGCCCAACTGTTATCACAAAGACAAACATCAAGCGAGTGAGGGACTGAATTTGGACAAAGCCAAATCAGTTGGCAAGGCAAATGGCAAAGAAGATGGCGATTTCAAGCACCTCATTGCGTTGGACCCTCGAAAATAATCTCAAACTTAATGCTTACAAGAAAAATGAAGGCTCAGCTTCTTTCCGCTAAAAACAAGCGAAAATTGAGAGCAGATCAGTTATTGATGCGCTTTAATGGAATCGACCATCACAATATCTCAACTCAATGGATTTTTCAGTGTTTTCGGTTTTAGAAGCCAAAGCTTGTTCAAATCTTCACAAAAACATCGAAAGCTTGAAGAAATCACTGTTGAAAGCGTGAGAAGAGCTCGATGCAGTCTATTTGGTCGTCACCGTTGATCAATTGATCAGAGCAGATCAGTTATTGATGTGCTTCAATGGAATCGACCAGCACAATATCTTGCACACAGATGAAAAGATATTTACCGTTGAAGGTCTTCTTAACCAGCAAAATGATCGGTTCTAGAAGCCAAAGCTTGTTCAAAGCCCCACAAAAACATCAAAAGCTTGAAGAAATCACTGTTGAAAGCGTGAGAAGAGCTCGATGCAGTCTATTTGGTCGGCTGATGGTCGCCACCGTTGACGCCTTCCCGTTGACGCCGTTGACGCCGTTGACGCCTTCCCGAAACGCGTGCGAGCCGTTATAATTGTTATGATACAATAAATGTGATTGAGTTAAAAATTGTCGTTTTTTTGTCGTTTTTTGCTCTTGTCTGCCTTAAAATCAGAACTTTATCTTGTTGCGGCAATTATGGCGCATCCTGTACTTTGCGATTTTTCTCAAAAACAACAAAAAGGTTCAAATAAGAAGCACTAAATCATTGAATAATTAAAAAGTAGAAGTTCAAGATAAATGTTTCAATATTTTCAATATTTGAATCGAAAAGCTCAGATTCAATAACAGTAAATTAAGAAAAAGAAAATATTTTTTTGACTAAATGACATAAATTTTGATTTTTGACATAAATTTTAAATTTAAGGGCAAGAAAATAAAAAAATGGACTTCTTTCTCAAGAGTTTAGACTGTTTCAATGATTCGCATAGACACAAAATTGCTTTTTTTAGACAAAATAAACTGAAGGCAAACAGAAAGAAAATTGAAGTTATCGAAGTTAAACAGTTAAACAATTGAAGTTAAACAAAGTTATCGATCAAGTTGGGATTTGTTCATAGCCAACCAAAGCATAAGCAAGCAAGCAAGCAACCAAAGCAACCAAAGCAACCAAAGCAACCAAAGCAACCAAAGCAACGAAAGCATAATGCTTCAGCTCGAGATTTCCCTTGAAAAGCACTCAGAATATGTGGCTTTTCTGAAGAAAGGCAAAGAATTCTCAATCGACGATCGTTTCTTGGGTGATGAGAGGGGACTTCCATCAAATGCACAAATTATATACGTCGACATTCAAGAGTCAAGCAGTATGTTATTAGTGTTAAAGTTCAATTTTTTCAACTTATAGTTCATTTTATCAAGTTTACAGTATGTTATTAGTGTTAAAGTTCATTTTAACCGCAAAAGATACTGAAAAGATACTGAGTACTGAAATTTTTGTTGACGTCATGAACCGTGCGAAATTTGAGCACAAAAAATATGTTTGGGTGTCGACGGAACGGATTCAATAAATTTAAAAATCGTTTTATTAAACTCCAAATATGAAGATGCATTTCGCGATTGTTAATTCGAAATGCCGAAACCATTAATGGAGAGCCCACAAATGCAATTATTGTTGATGCACATTGAAAAGATTTTGTCCTAAAATCATTTAAATATATTGGGTTGGTGAATGGAAACCTGCGGGACTTTGAACTAAAATTTATTCAACATAAAACCATAAATTCATTCCAAATAACTTCCATTATTATTGACGACTTCTGCCCATTTTACAGGCAATTTGCGGATTCCTCTTTCGTAGTAGGATTTTGGTTTGTGTGTGAGACAAGTGCGAGACTCAAAAATGGAGGACTGGACATGTCCCAGTTTGAGGACTTTCTTCAAAAGAAACCCATTTTGGTGTCAATAGAAAAGTTGTAGAGAATCAAAAATTAGACTTATAGCCAAATTTCCTAAAAGATACACTTAGTAGTTTCGCTTCAAATGCAAGTTTTGTGAAAATTCGTAAATTTGGCATTTCTTGAAAACCAAAATGAAATATTGGTCAAAATACGGCTGGAAAAATGCCCGTACAGTAAGGCAGACAGAAAGACAGACAGAAAGACAGACAGATACCGTAACCTCCCCCCCCCCTCCCCTCCCCCTTCTTTTCGGTCATTTCATTTGTGAAAATTCGGGGGGTGGGATAAATGCCCCTTTTTTTTTGCGCACCTGGACATTTGCGCACCTTTTTTTGCTGGAAAAGGCCTTAGGCAAGGCCGTAGAGCTTCGAATATGGTTCCAATATGGTTCAGATGCGGTTCAGATGGTTTAGTCAAATTTGGGCTAAAAGGCAAAAACTGCGGAAAAGCGTTAAGTTGCGTAGTTTTTGCCTTTTAGCCCAAATTTGACGTGTCAGCGAGGTCTGATTTGTCGAAATTCGGAATCTACGCATATGATTCCCTAGTATGGAAACATTTTTGAAGCTCTACGACCTTTCCTAAGGTCTTTTCCAGCAAAAAAAAGGTGCGCAAAAAAAGGTAGCATTTGTCCCACCGCCAAAATTCGTAAATTTGGCATTTCTTGAAAACCAGTTTTTGAAGCGTTCTGAAAATTTGCATATAAGCTTGATTTTTGATTCTCTACAACTTTTCCATTGGCACCAAAATGGGTTTCTTTTGAAGAAAGTGCTCAGACTGTCACATATGATGATAGCCGGCAGTTTTCAATTCACCAACCCAATGGATTCATTTTAAATTACATTTAAAAACAGACTACTTAATAAAAAAAAACCCACGTTGCAAGAGATTTTCTTGCAAATGAAATCCCCGAAAAAACACGAGAAATCAGCGGAGATTCCGTGGAGAGAAACGACGAGAAAAAGGAAGGACAAAGAATTCATTTCGAGGAATTGACAAAAGTTTTTGGGAAGATTTGCATCTCTCAATCTCTCAATTTCTCAATTTATTCACTTCTAAATCGTTTTCTATTTGTTTGGGTTTGTGATTCATTTTAAAATTCCCTCAAACGATTTCAATTCATTTATCCTTTATAAAATGACCACGCAAGCGTTTTATAAAAACAAAAAAAACAAAAAAAACAAAAAAACAAAAAAAAGAACAAAAAGAAAAAAAAATATCATTAAACAAGATTTTGAAAAAACAAATTTTAACTTTAAAGTCAAAAAAAAACAGACGCGATGAAGTCATTTTTTCATTATTAGTGAAAAGTTATACAATAATCAGCTTTTTGACTAAAGATTCGAGCTGTGGAACAAAGTATAGGAGACTGAAAAGTAACCGAAAGTATCCGAAAGTACAGGGTGACCAGAAAATATGGCGAATTTTTTCTCGACCTTTTGATATCAAGTTTTTCTTTGGTTTTTGCGATGTTTCTTTTCTATAATGCTTGTTTACGTTGTTCTGATTAATAATCTTTGAATTTTAGGGTCTTTCCGATTGCCCGGGCACACTTCTTGGACGATCCTATGAAAGCAAAGAGACTACAGCGAGCGCGATTGATGAAGAGACTGGTCGCTGGACAGAATCTTGATATGGTCTTATTCACAGATGAGAAAATTTTTACCATCGAGCCAAAGCACAACTTTCAAAATCATCGCCAGCTGTTGAAGAAAGGTCTTAAGAACACTTTTGCAGCAAAAATTATGGTGAGGCGTCATTTTCCAGCTTCTGTCATGGTATGGGCCGGGGTGTTTTCAAGCGGAAAGACACCTCTTGTCTTCATCGATCGCAACGTCAAAATCAACGCTTCCGTGTATCAACAAAAGGTTCTAAAGGATGTTTTAGTTCCCTGGGTTGCAAAACACTTTGGCCAAAGCGGTTTTGTTCTACAACAAGACTGGGCTCCAGCCCATGGCGCTGCTTCCACTCGACAGCTCTGTCAGCAGCTCTTTCCTGGATTTTGGGACAAGGATGTGTGGCCGGGAAACGCACCAGATTTGCACCCATTGGACTTTTCTGTGTGGTCAATTCTTGAAGAAAGGCTTCGCAAGTATCGATACACCACGGTTGCCGGTTTGAAAACGGCCTTGACTCGCGCTTGGAGGGAAATTACAACGCAAGAATGCGCGACCATCATTCAGAACTTTCCGAAGCGGCTTAGCAAATGTGTTGAGGTGGAAATTTTGAACATTTAATGTAGGAATTTTTGATAGAAAAGTTATTGTTGAGCTTGAAGTTGTTAATTCTTGTTAAACTTTCGAGATAAATCTTTTTAAAAAGTGTTGAGGGCTAAATTTGACGATGCGCAAAAAATTCGCCGTATTTTCTGGTCACCCTGTATATAAACAATTTTGTTGATGCGCGCTCGCCTTATTAACACATTCGCGAAGAAGCCATTTCTCGCTTAACTAGCCATTCGAACGATAGAGTTCCATGCTAGCTGTAAAATAAGTTTTTGATTACATTTTGGGAAAGAAAACAGAATTTAATGCCCGTCTTAAATCTCTTATCACTTTTTCAAATACTCAATGCTGAAATTTGTTGTGGTTAGAAAGAAAAACTGAAAAAAAGCTTGAAAACAGCAAACTTTTGAGTCAGAAGCAAACTACTTTTTGGTTTAAACACTTATTCTTAAAGGTTATTTTGTTCTTAAAGATTATTTTGTTCTTAAAATGTTCTTAATGGTGATTTTCTTGTTCACCTTCCTTTCACAAATCGATTCTGCTTGTCTCCCAGACTTTGAAGCTATTCCTGGTGAAAGTAAATGTCTATTTTCGAGTTATGGAGGTATTATATTTATCGAAATTCTATAATTGATATTTAAAAACAAGAAAAATCCTGTTAAACATTTATTCAAGAAGCTTTAGAACATTCTGGTCGACCAAAAGCTGCTTGTAGTTACAAAGGGACAATCCCGGCTAAAATCGAGAACGCTTTTGAGAACAGCTTTGTATTTTCAAAGTTGACTGACCCAGGTGAGTTTTGTTAAATATTAAGTCTCTTAAATTTTTCTTTTTCTTAATTTTTCTTAATTTTTCTAAAGTTTTTAAGATTTTTCTGAAAACATTGCATACATTGGAGTCGAAAAGCAAAATGGTGTCTGGGTTTACAGCGATGGATCGGCGCTCACCTATACAAATTGGGCAAATGGTAATTTTATGGTAAAACCAGAAAAGGCTAAATTTTTTTGAATTTTAATAAATTCTCTCTAATCTAAAGATATTCAGCCGTTTAAATACAGAAGCCGGCCAACCTACAGAAGCCGGCCAACCTACAGAAGCCGGCCAACCTACAGAAGCCGGCCAACCTACAGAAGCCGGCCAACCTGCAGAAGCCGGCCAACCTGCAGAAGCCGGCCAACCTGCAGAAGCCGGCCAACCTGCAGAAGCCGGCCAACCTGCAGAAGCCGGCCAACCTGCAGAAGCCGGCCAACCTGCAGAAGCCGGCCAACCTGCAGAAGCCGGCCAACCTGCAGAAGCCGGCCAACCTGCAGAAGCCGGTCAACCTGCAGAAGCCGGTCAACCTGCAGAAGCCGGTCAACCTGCAGAAGCCGGTCAACCTGCAGAAGCCGGTCAACTTTAACGGCGTATATCTCGACTTATAAGCATCGGATCGACTAATGGTTAATTCAAAAAGAATCCCCATCAAATTTGACTAGAAAAAAGTGCAGTTTGTTTTGCATACTCATCTGTAAGAACATAGAGAAAAACGGTGTCAAAGTAGACCGGTTTTTGCGGTTTTTTCATAGGAAAAACCTGCAGAAGTCGGTCAAATTTGATTGCTTATATCTCAACTTCCAGGGATCGGATCGACTAACGGTTAGTTTAAAGTTTGTAGCTGACAATGAGATCTTGCGGGGGATTAGAGTGTTGAGCTTCTGTGAAAACTTCGAAACCGTAAAATAGGCATTAACTCGGCTAGGCTGCGTAGTGCAGCCGAGCTGAGAGAATATTAGAGAGAATACGATATTAGATATTATTAGGTTGGCAAAAAAGAAATGCGCGTTTTCGTTAAAAGTTTATTTTATTATAAAAACAAGATAACAATACATTAATCCAAAAGGTATTCACCATCTGCATCAATGACTTGTCGCCAACGTTCACGCAGAGAATGGATGCCCTTTCTTGAAGAACTCGACCGGCTGCGACTCGAAGAAGTTGGACACCCAAATTTGGACCTCGTCGCCGTTCTTGAACTTTTTCTCGGCCAAGGAGTGGTGCATTGATCGGAACAGATGGTAGTCGGAAGGCGCCAAGTCTGGGCTGTATCGCGGATGAGGCAGGACTTCCCAGCCCATTTCTTCAATTTTCTGCTGGGTGATTTTTGCGACATGCGGCCGAGCGTTGTCGTGAAGGAATTTTGTCGACGCCGTATCCACACCTTGACGTCGCAGCGCCTGGTCCACGCGGTCCAATTGGCCTTGGTAGAGGTTCGCCGTAACTGTTTGACCCGAATCCAGAACCTCAAAGTACACCAGGCCTTTACTGTTCCACCAAACACAAAGCATCACCTTTTTTCCGTGGATGTCCGGTTTTGGAGCTTCACCGGGGTCCAACCACTGCCGCTTTCTTGCTGTGTTGCCGTATTGGATCCACTTCTCATCCGACATAACAATGGAGTCGAAAAACCCACTGTTCTTGGCGCGGTGAGTGAGAATTCCGGCGATTGCGATGCGTGTTGCCTTGTTTGCGTCGGATAGCTTATGCGGTACCCATTTTCCGCATCTATTCGTCTTGCCCATGCCATGCAGATGGTTCTCAATGGTGACATGAGTGCAGTCGAACTGTTCTGCCAGGTCGCGAGTGGTTTGGCGTGGATCCGACTTCCTTCAATGCGTCGTTGTCGATGATTTGAGGTCGACTTCCGTGTTTTTGGTCTTCCAAGCTTTCGTCGGCGTCTCGGAAGCGCTGGAACCATCGTTTACACTGACTTTCGGATAGAGCATCTTCGTCAAACACTTGAGATAGAGCGCCATGAGCTTCAGCAGCCGATTTGCCTTGCTTAAATTCATGCCACAAGCAGGCCCGCAAACGAAATTTTTGGTCCGACATTTTCTAAACACTCTTTCTTGCAAAAAAAACAAAGTAAACATAGACAAATTATATATCAAACGATGCGCAAGAACACGCTCTTTCCAATAGAATAAACTATTTTAAAAAATCTTTTACTGTGAATAAAATACAAATCAAAAAACACGACGCTCATTTCTTTTTTGCCAACCTAATAGATAGAAATTGGCTTTAAATTATGATAGCTTTCATTCAAAATTACCGTACTTTTAGCGAAAATTGCTTTTTGCATTAAAATTGTTGCAAAAAATCACGAGCGACTCCTGTAAAGATATACAGCAGATGCAAGATGCACGCTGAGTCTTGTCTAAATTCCTCGAAATCTCGAGAACCGCTTATCAGAACCTATCGATGTGGGGTCGGAAAATGTAGCTGATGATGAGATCTTTTGAGGGATTTGAGTGTTGAGCTTCTGTGAAAGCTTTGGAAGCCGTAAAATAGGCATTAACTCGGCTCGGCTGGGTGCTAACGCCAACGCATAGTTTGAGCTCTCGAGTTAAAGGGTCTCCTCCACTCCTACGCCTTCTCCGAGATCCCTGTAACAATACTGTGACAATCTTAATCCTCCAAAGCAATATCGGCACCATCCCTGATACCCTCCGAAACACCACCGACATCTATACTCGACGCGACGTTAGTCCCGCCGAGCTGGACGGACGCCGGGACGCACTACCACTCGGCCACGCGGCAGCGTCGCCTAAATTTCTCGAAATCTCGAGAACCGCTTATCAGAACCTATCGATGTGGGGTCGAAAAATGTAGCTGACGATGAGATCTAGTGGGGGATTAGAGTGTTGAGCTTCTGTGAGAACTTTGGAAGCCGTAAAATAGGCATTAACTCGGCTCGGCTGGGTGCACCACTATTAGAGAGAATACGGTAAACAGATAAGAGAGAATACGGTAAACAGATAAAATTTAGAATGAATTTTAAGGTGAACCAAATTCATTCGAAGAGTGCGCTATAATGGATCGATTGAGTGGAAAATGGAAAGCAGAAAATTGCGGTGGAGCTTATCCTTTCTTCTGCACACATGGAGAAAGTAAGTAAGAAACAATACCGTTCTGCCAAGTTAAGTAGCGTTAAGCTCGGTTAGTCGCAGATTTGGAGTTATCCCAAGCGCAGAGCAGAGCAGAGCAATGTAACGCACTGTGCCCGTTAAAACTACGGGTTGACTTGCACATGAACTGCAGTCATTAAAACGGTTATTTCCTTTCATTGACTAGCATCTTCACAAATGAATGATCATTGACTTTTTGAAGAAGAATTTGAAGTCATTAGATATGATAGTCTTTATGGCATTAGATAGTTTAGGATAGGGTATCAGTAGGAGTTGTTTCTGTATTGTGATTGATTGCTTAGAATAAACCAATAGGTTCAATAAACCAGTAGCTTCAATAAACCAATAGGTTCAATAAGCCAATAGCTTCAATAAACCAGTAGCTTCAATAAACCAGTAGCTTCAATAAACCAATAGATTCAATAAACCAATAGCTTCAATAAACTAGTAGCTTCAATAAACCAATAGATTCAATAAACCAATAGCTTCAATAAACCAATAGGTTCAATAAGCCAATAGCTTCAATAAACCAATAGCTTCAATAAACCAATAGGTTCAATAAACCAGTAGCTTCAATAAACCAATAGGTTCAATAAGCCAATAGCTTCAATAAACCAGTAGCTTCAATAAACCAGTAGCTTCAATAAACCAGTAGCTTCCATAAACCAATAGATTCAATAAACCAATAGCTTCAATAAACTAGTAGCTTCAATAAACCAATAGATTCAATAAACCAATAGCTTCAATAAACCAATAGGTTCAATAAGCCAATAGCTTCAATAAACCAGTAGCTTCAATAAACCAGTAGCTTCAATAAACCAATAGGTTCAATAAACCAATAGGTTCAATAAACCAATAGATTCAATAAACCAATAGCTTCAATAAACCAGTAGCTTCAATAAACCAATAGCTTCAATAAACCAATAGGTTCAATAAACCAATAGCTTCAATAAACCAGTCGATAATTTAAAAAATTCTAGTTAATTCGAGTTGTCCAGATGACTGGGTGTCTTCAGAACAAACCGGTTTTTGCTATTACTTGCATGTGAGTTTCCGTTGTTCATAATAAAACTTGATAATAAAGTTCATAATAAAGGTTATTAGGTTGTAAACAAAGTCTTGATGCGCTCAGTAAAATTTGAAAACTTTGTTAAGGGCACCCTTGAAAGATTGAAAATTTGGAAATTGTCATTCTCCACTACACGACAACGCCAGTTCACATACGGCAAAGTCGACCCGCTCCACAATCCAACTGGGAACTCTGGGAACTGGGAACTCTGGGAACTGGGAACTCTGGGAACTGGGAACTCTGGGAACTGGGAACTCTGGGAACTGGGAACTCTGGGAACTGGGAACTCTGGGAACTGGGAACTCTGGGAACTGGGAACTCTGGGAACTGGGAACTCTGGGAACTGGGAACTCTGGGAACTGGGAACTCTGGGAACTGGGAACTCTTACCCTATCCATCATATTCTCCTGCCCTCCCTCCTACAGATTATCATCTTTTCCGATCAATGAAACAATGATCAATGAAACAATGATCAATAAAACAATGGTCAATGAAACAATGATCAATGAAATACTTCCAAAATGAAGAAGACCTCAAAAAGTGGCTGCAAGACTATTTTGACCAACCAAAAACCAAACCAAGAAACCAAAAACTTTCTATGAGAGGCCGTTAATTGCCAGGAAAATGGGCGAAAGTCATAATGGAGACCATTTCGTTAAACTAATCTTTGCTTGTCAATATTGGTTTAAATTTGGGGTCAGTCAAGACTGCCAAGACTGCCAAGACTGTCAAGAATGTCAAGACTGTCAAGACTGTCAAGACTGTCAAGACTGTAGACTGTCAAGACTGTCAAGACAGTTTACAATCTAATATACTCAATATCATTCACTTAAGCTTGCTTTGCTCAAATAGCTTTTTCCATTTGTTTTTCAGAATTTCACCGTTCCGAATTGCCCAAATTGGGATCTTTATCATGTGACAAAAGCCGAAGAAAACTGCCAGTCGATGAACTCACATCTAGTCTCCATTCATTCAGATCAGGAAAACTATTTCGTTTTGCGTGAGTGCAATTTGAAATAGCGTTTAAATAGCGTTGAACTAGCATTTAAACAGCATTTAAACAGCATTTAAACAGCATTTAAACAACATTTAAACATCATTTAAATAGCATTTAAATAGCGAAAGTAATAGCAATTTTAGAACTCGCCAACACTTACACGATTTTCATTGACTTTGGAAACTGTTGTAATATTGCTGGAGCATGGATTGGATATTATGGGAATCAAACGATTGGATCAGGCAATTGGACAGATGGATCGAGAGTCGATTGGGTCGAATCGGAGTCTATTACTTGGCCAAAAGATTACAATTGGGGAGTAAGTGGGATAAAAAAAGATGCAAAATCAAAAAAAGTAATTAGCATGCTTTCTTTTGCTTCAAAATTTGCTCTCTGATATCAATAATATTAAGGTGATAAGCGATGATTCCTGTTTCGCCCACAACTGGAATCTTTACTATCCGCCAAATCTCGATAAAGCGGCTCGTCATATTTGCAAAATGTCACCACCGATGAAAAATTAGCTAATATTCTACATTTGTTAAATAATAAACTTTTGAGAAAGACTTTTTAGATATTAATTTACGGATCAGGATCAGGCTCAGGCTCAGGCGCAGGCTTAGGCACATGATCAGGCTTAGGCACAGGATCAGGCTCAGGAAGAGGCTGAGGATCAGGAGCAGGCTCAGGATCAGGATCTGGCTCAGGATCAGGTCTAGGCTCAGGATCAGGCTTAGGCTTAGGCTCAGGATCAGGTCTAGGCTCAGGATCAGGCTCAGGATCAGGAGCAAGCTCAGGATCAGGATCAGCATCTGGCTCAGGCTTAGGCTCAGGATCAGGCTTAAGCTCGGGCTCAGGATCGGGAGCAGGCTCAGGCTCAGGATCAAGATCTGGCGCAGACTTAAGCTCAGGATCAGGCTTAGGCTCAGGCTTAGGCTCAGGCTTAGGCTCAGGATCAGGCTCAGGCTTAGGCTCAGGCTTAGGCTCAGGCTTAAGCTCAGGATCAGGCTCAGGCTTAGGCTCAGGCTTAGGCTCAGGCTTAAGCTCAGGATCAGGCTCAGGCTTAGGCTCAGGCTTAGGCTCAGGCTTAAGCTCAGGATCAGGCTCAGGCTTAGGCTCAGGCTTAGGCTCAGGATCAGGCTCAGGCTTAGGCTCAGGCTTAGGCTCAGGCTTAAGCTCAGGATCAGGCTCAGGCTTAGGCTCAGGCTTAGGCTCAGGCTTAGGCTCAGGATCAGGCTCAGGCTTAGGCTCAGGCTTAGGCTCAGGCTTAAGCTCAGGATCAGGCTCAGGCTTAGGCTCAGGCTTAGGCTCAGGCTTAAGCTCAGGATCAGGCTCAGGCTTAGGCTCAGGCTTAGGCTCAGGCTTAAGCTCAGGATCAGGCTCAGGCTTAGGCTCAGGCTTAGGCTCAGGCTTAGGCTCAGGATCAGGCTCAGGCTTAGGCTCAGGCTTAGGCTCAGGCTTAAGCTCAGGATCAGGCTCAGGCTTAGGCTCAGGCTTAGGCTCAGGCTTAAGCTCAGGATCAGGCTCAGGCTTAGGCTCAGGCTTAGGCTCAGGCTTAAGCTCAGGATCAGGCTCAGGCTTAGGCTCAGGCTTAGGCTCAGGCTTAGGCTCAGGATCAGGCTCAGGCTTAGGCTCAGGCTTAGGCTCAGGCTTAAGCTCAGGATCAGGCTCAGGCTTAGGCTCAGGCTTAGGCTCAGGCTTAAGCTCAGGATCAGGCTCAGGCTTAGGCTCAGGCTTAGGCTCAGGCTTAGGCTCAGGATCAGGCTCAGGCTTAGGCTCAGGCTTAGGCTCAGGCTTAAGCTCAGGATCAGGCTCAGGCTTAGGCTCAGGCTTAGGCTCAGGCTTAAGCTCAGGATCAGGCTCAGGCTCCTTTAAGAACAAATTTACATAACTCAGCTGCTTGAAAAGAGATGGTAATCCATAGGTGATATATCAGGCGAATACAGTGGACGAGACAGGACTTGATAGCCAATCTCGTTCAAAAACTTAATCGCCTTTATAGAAACACTATGAATATGAAAGTTCAAAATGCTTTCGAAAAAAATATTTACCAAAATTTCTCTAACTGTAAGCTGTTTCTCAATTGCAAATGTTTTAAACGACTAAATGCAACACAAAAGAATTGAAAATTTTGAACGTTAACAAAAGTTTTTGAGAGTAATTTTTATTACACAAATAAATTTTAAAAATCTTTGAGAAAATTTGAAAAACTAGCAAGCAATGAAAAAGATTGCAAGTTAAAAGTTGTAATTAAATTAATTAGAATTCAAAAAGGTAGTTAAAATGTTATGAAAATGTAGTTAAAATGCAGTTAAAATGCAGTTAAAATGTAATTAAAATTAATTAAAATTAATTAAGAATGAAATGATTAAGGTGAAACACCAGAAACAAAACAAACAAAGGATAGTGACTGATCGTGAAAAGAAAACATAAAGGCTTCCTTGAAAAAGGAACAAAAGAACAAAATAGAACAAAAAGAAAACATTGTATAGGAAAGAACTATTAATTAAAATGAATTAAAATGAGAATATTATAATTATTATAATAAAAAATACAAAAATTAGGTTGCCAAATATAAAACGTCGAATTTTATTGGTGATTCTATCATTTTTGAAATTTTGATAGTGTGATTAAGTGATTAGGCTCAGGATCAGGCTCAGGATCAGGCTTAGGCTCGGGCTTAGGCTCAGGATCAGGCTTAGGCTCGGGCTTAGGCTCAGGATCAGGCTTAGGCTCGGGCTTAGGCTCAGGATCAGGCTTAGGCTCGGGCTTAGGCTCAGGATCAGGCTTAGGCTCGGGCTTAGGCTTAGGATCAGGCTTAGGCTCGGGCTTAGGCTCAGGATCAGGCTTAGGCTCGGGCTTAGGCTCAGGATCAGGCTTAGGCTCGGGCTTAGGCTCAGGATCAGGCTTAGGCTCGGGCTTAGGCTCAGGATCAGGCTTAGGCTCGGGCTTAGGCTTAGGATCAGGCTTAGGCTCGGGCTTAGGCTCAGGATCAGGCTTAGGCTCGGGCTTAGGCTTAGGATCAGGCTTAGGCTCGGGCTTAGGCTCAGGATCAGGCTTAGGCTCGGGCTTAGGCTTAGGATCAGGCTTAGGCTCGGGCTTAGGCTCAGGATCAGGCTTAGGCTCGGGCTTAGGCTCAGGATCAGGCTTAGGCTTAGGCTCAGGATCAGGCTTAGGCTTAGGCTCAGGATCAGGCTTAGGCTCGGGCTTAGGCTCAGGATCAGGCTTAGGCTCGGGCTTAGGCTCAGGATCAGGCTTAGGCTCGGGCTTAGGCTCAGGATCAGGCTTAGGCTCGGGCTTAGGCTCAGGATCAGGCTTAGGCTCGGGCTTAGGCTTAGGATCAGGCTTAGGCTCGGGCTTAGGCTCAGGATCAGGCTTAGGCTCGGGCTTAGGCTCAGGATCAGGCTTAGGCTTAGGCTCAGGATCAGGCTTAGGCTCGGGCTTAGGCTCAGGATCAGGCTTAGGCTCGGGCTTAGGCTTAGGATCAGGCTTAGGCTCGGGCTTAGGCTCAGGATCAGGCTTAGGCTTAGGCTCAGGATCAGGCTTAGGCTCGGGCTTAGGCTCAGGATCAGGCTTAGGCTCGGGCTTAGGCTTAGGATCAGGCTTAGGCTCGGGCTTAGGCTCAGGATCAGGCTTAGGCTCGGGCTTAGGCTCAGGATCAGGCTTAGGCTCGGGCTTAGGCTCAGGATCAGGCTTAGGCTTAGGCTCAGGATCAGGCTTAGGCTCGGGCTTAGGCTTAGGATCAGGCTTAGGCTCGGGCTTAGGCTCAGGATCAGGCTTAGGCTCGGGCTTAGGCTCAGGATCAGGCTTAGGCTCGGGCTTAGGCTTAGGATCAGGCTTAGGCTCGGGCTTAGGCTCAGGATCAGGCTTAGGCTCGGGCTTAGGCTTAGGATCAGGCTTAGGCTCGGGCTTAGGCTCAGGATCAGGCTTAGGCTCGGGCTTAGGCTTAGGATCAGGCTTAGGCTCGGGCTTAGGCTCAGGATCAGGCTTAGGCTCGGGCTTAGGCTCAGGATCAGGCTTAGGCTCGGGCTTAGGCTCAGGATCAGGCTTAGGCTCGGGCTTAGGCTTAGGATCAGGCTTAGGCTCGGGCTTAGGCTCAGGATCAGGCTTAGGCTCGGGCTTAGGCTCAGGATCAGGCTTAGGCTCGGGCTTAGGCTCAGGATCAGGCTTAGGCTTAGGCTCAGGATCAGGCTTAGGCTTAGGCTCAGGATCAGGCTTAGGCTCGGGCTTAGGCTCAGGATCAGGCTTAGGCTCGGGCTTAGGCTCAGGATCAGGCTTAGGCTCGGGCTTAGGCTCAGGATCAGGCTTAGGCTCGGGCTTAGGCTCAGGATCAGGCTTAGGCTCGGGCTTAGGCTTAGGATCAGGCTTAGGCTCGGGCTTAGGCTCAGGATCAGGCTTAGGCTCGGGCTTAGGCTCAGGATCAGGCTTAGGCTTAGGCTCAGGATCAGGCTTAGGCTCGGGCTTAGGCTCAGGATCAGGCTTAGGCTTAGGCTCAGGATCAGGCTTAGGCTCGGGCTTAGGCTCAGGATCAGGCTTAGGCTTAGGCTCAGGATCAGGCTTAGGCTCGGGCTTAGGCTCAGGATCAGGCTTAGGCTCGGGCTTAGGCTCAGGATCAGGCTTAGGCTCGGGCTTAGGCTTAGGATCAGGCTTAGGCTCGGGCTTAGGCTCAGGATCAGGCTTAGGCTCGGGCTTAGGCTTAGGATCAGGCTTAGGCTCGGGCTTAGGCTCAGGATCAGGCTTAGGCTCGGGCTTAGGCTCAGGATCAGGCAATTTGTCAGCTCCGAGCCAAGCTGATATTTTAGTTACTATCGTTATTATTTAATGATTTGTCTATTCTTATGTAACTGTGATCTCCCCTGTGATTATCCATTTCATCGCCGATCCTTGGCGATCCTTTGGATTGCCTAGGAGGACAAGTAAGGCTCTCACTTGGAATCCCCCTTTCCCTTTCACTCATTTGTAATCTATTCGTCTTATCGATGATCTTTAGTCTTATCCATGATCTTAATGATCTCGCCAGTGTTTCCTTTATTCCCCACAATGCACACGACACTTTCAATACCGTTGAAACTTTCCATACGTTGAAAATCGTTTGAGGAGAACGAAATAGTTGAGATCAACTAATAGATAATGTCGATAAATGCTTATGCTTATGGATTTGTAAAAATCTCAACGTAAAGATGAGTACCTCTTAAAAACGAATTCCTCATTACCCTCATTCCTCATTACCCTTTAAAATTAGAGAGCTCTATAATAAGCTCTTTAAATTAGAGAGCTCTTTAATAAGCTCTTTAATTAGAGAAATTAGAGAGCTCTTTAATAAGCTCTTCAAATCTTTTAACCGTTTTAACCAATGCGCTCGTTCTGGCCCACAAGAAGAACCCAAAGCTGAATGCCTCTGATGGCATGGCTATGGTGAAGCAACAATTTAACAAAGAAATTTCTCGAAAAACAGTGAGTCGACGCCTGATTCACGGTGACTGATGAATTGATGAATTGATGACTAGAAGGGCCGCCAAGAAACCTCTGATGGTAGCTAAGTACCGGAAGCTTCGTCTCGAGTTTGCTAAGAAGTTGGACGTCGCACGATTGGGCCAATGTTTGTTTTGCTAATGCTAAAACTAGTGATAATAAGCTCTTTAATTCTTTTAACCGTTTGCAAATTGGTCGGATTTGGACCAAGATATACAAAGGACAAACTTCTAAAAACCAACGTTAAAAGACTTTTGTCCATGTATTGGTAATAATGGTGATTACTTTGATTCTTAAACTTTTCTCCTTATCAATAGCTCCTTATCAATAGCTCCTTATCAATAGCTCCTTATCAATATTAGCTCAAAGTTCAATACCCAAATCTGCCATCAATTGCACCTAATAATAGATAAGACTTCTTTACTAAGTTCTGAAATAAAGGTGAAGGAAGTTGCATGATGAATGAAAGATGAAATACGGATTTTAATAACTAGGCAACAGTCAGCTTCCAGAGCCATTTTGTTTTACCTTAAAGCTTTTTCAAAAAGAAATATAAATAAAGTTTAATGTTTTCTCTACTTGTTTTCTGTTTTCTCTACTAAAAAGTGAAAATATTCATGATGAAATCAAAAATTTAAACCCCTCTCAACTCGTCGAAATTTCATATCTGACAACCTAATATAATAACAGCTTTGCTGCTTTAAATTACTTTAACCTTTCACCTTGATCACGTTGATTAGTTGTTTGATTAGTGCCGAGCATGACGAAGAACAAGCGCCCGTAGCGCAACAAAGCCCCACGTAGAAGAGAGAACAAAATACAGCGCTTCGCCTTTGTAGTAAAGACTGGGGAAAAGACGGGCTCCCCAATGAGCAGCTATTGCGAGGAAATCATCCCATAAATAGCACGCAAACATCCACAAAATGAAGAGGAAAACTGAAAATGAAGAGAAAAACGTTGCTAGGAATGTACAAAAGAAATTAATTTTAAACTTATCGTCTTTTCCCTAATAGTAGCGCAGTCCTGGAGGGGATTGAAAAAAAAAGAATAATGACAAAATTTGTCTTTCAGCGAAATTAGAATAAAATTCACAATTTTTAACTTTCTGTTTCTATTTCTATTAACAATTTCTACTTACCTACCTACATCAAATGAACAACAGTTGCCTTATACAGCCAAGTAGGTAAGTAGTTTAATAGTACCCCACCCGCCTCGTACATTCGCGTAGTCGCAAACGTTTTTTAGTATTTGATTTTTTCAAAGCGCCCTTACTTTCAAAAAATGCGTCTTTGGCATCAAAAATAGCTGAAATTCAGGGCTATTTTTTGAAACCAAAACGAACCTTGTAGCATAAACCAGTGTCGAGAAAAACTCGTTCAAAGCTAGCTAGCTAGACTACGCAACACTCCGCACCGTCATTATGGGAGTGGGGTACTATTACAGTATTTACGGTAAATATTTTTGGCAAAATATTTGGCAGTCTGTTGGCAGAATATTTTTAATTTCTCTGCACGTTCATTCATAAATTTTCCAAAGCGATCATTTATTTCAGTCATGCTATTTATAAAAAGTTGTTTGTTCTAAAAGAATTTGTTGAAAAAAATGCAATATCTTTTCTATTTTCAAACATTTTTTTGGTTGAAATGCTAAAATCTCTAATAATCGTGTTCCAAGGAAGGGGATTGAAAAGGTAGTGCGCACTACGGTTCTTTTCCAATATCGGGGGAGCGGTCCGATTATCGGGGGAGCGGAAAGATTATCAGGGGAGCGAAAGGAAAATCGGGGGAGCAAATTTTGCCCCCTCGAAAAATGCATTTCCGGGACTGTATTTTAACTGCAACGTTTTTTTTTAAACTTTGCGACGACTTTAAAACGACGTTGCGCTTCTCCGATATTTGTGCGTTCAAGAAATCGACGGCAATCGATTATTTCGTCACCAAAGGAGTCATCCAGTCGTGGATTTGCAACTGTGGCGAATCGAAAGTCCGCTCAAAGGGAAAAGATCTATTTCGCTGGGTATGTGACACTTGTGCACGGCGAAAGGTCCCCAAGCATTCAAGAGGAATTCGAGTCGATAACTTTTTGCAACAAAGCAAGTTCCCATTCGTCACAATTTTAAATAGGACATATGTAGCGCTGCCAAAATTTGCTCCCCCGATTTTCCTTTCGCTCCCCCGATAATCCTTCCGCTCCCCCGATAATCGGACCGCTCCCCCGATATTGGAAAAGAACCCGCACTACTATTAAGTAAAATATGGTATTTTCTTTCACCCACCTAACGTGACTCGGTCAGTGAACAAGCGGCGAAGGCGAGCCATTTTATAACTCCAATCATAAATGAACAAAAAAAGCAGTTGTATGCCTGGTTTAGAGAAGAATCGAAGCAACTTTTTTATTGGAGTACAGTGTGTAAAATGCTGTAATCATTTTAATAGAAGAACCCCGCGATAATGACGGTCGTATCGTCGCGTAGTCTAACTTTGAGCGCTCGCCTTTGATAAATACCGTATTTCTTCGAAGAGAAGACCGGGTAAAGAGTATGATCGCGTACTCCTGCGTAGCAGCTCCTTTTTAAAATTTCTTTTCTGCATAAAAGTGCTATAGGGCTGGAAAATGGCTCAAAAATACCACATGAGCTAACAGATTTTTGAGCCATTTTCCACCTCTATAGCACTTGATTGAAAGCTTTCATGCAGAAAAGAAATTTTAAAAAGGGCTGCTACGCAGGAGTACGCGATGAGACTCTTTACCCGGTCTTCTATTCGAAGAAATACGGTAAGCAAGCTTATTTATCAAAAGCGAGCTAAACTTTTAGGAAGAATTCGATGGCTTTCAAAAGAAATTAAATAAAAATAAAAAGTAACGACTACGCGACTGTACGGGGGATCTTCTATTATTGGATGGCCCATAAGTTCTGTCCATTTTTTTTGAGGTCGTCTTTTGATCCACACAGGATAAAAATTTTTTCAGACATATATATATTTTCTGAAAGCTCTTGAATAGCTCTAAAAGGTGGCATAAACAGATTTTAAGAATATTTCGATTTTTAGAGGTTTTTTGGGCTACTAAAAAGGGCGCTTTGAGAAGCGTGATGGCAAGCGCAAAAAAAAGCGCAAAAAGCGCAAAAAAGTAACTTTTTTGCAGGAATTTCAATTTTATTTTGATTCCATTGAAAAGAGGACAAAAAATGGCATAAGAAAAGTTTGTTTCAAGAAATTTGACGTTTCGTACTCACTGAGCGTAGGGTAGCCAAAAAAAAGCTGTTTTTCCAGTGTTTTCGCGATTCGAAATTCGATTCGAAGATCCAACTATTCTTAAAATCTGTTTATTCCACCTTTTAGAGCTATTCAAGAGCTTTCAGAAAATATATACATGTCTGAAAAAATAACCTGTGTGGATCAAAAGATGACCTCAAAAAATGGACAGAGCTTATGGACCAACTCAATAGAATAATTACGGTGGTTAACAAAAAAAGTTATTCATAAAATTTGAAACGATAAAAACGAGCAAGTGATTGTCTTTTTTTCGTTAAAATCCTCTCCGAGTCACAGAAAGGATCCGGCTCAGCGATTCTCTTTTTAGAGCACACATTACACCCGTTGCTTGAGATCTCTTGGTTTGGGGGACATGTTCTTTCCTTTCCACACAAGTATTACTATTCACGTAAAAATCTCCACAAAAACAAAAACAAAAACAAAAAAAAGCAGAAAAATAAAAACCTTCTTATTTACTTTTGATGTTTTGCTACCTGAAAAGTGAAAAAAAAACCGTTGATCTTTGAGAAACGAAACATACCGTAAATACTGTAATAGTACCCCACCCCCATAATGACGGTGCGGAGTGTTGCGTAGTCTAGCTTTGAACGAGTTTTTCTCGACACTGGTTTATGCTACAATGTTCGTTTTGGTTTCAAAAAATAACCCTGAATTTCAGCTATTTTTTGATACCAAAGACGCATTTTTTGAAAGTAAGAGCGCTTTGAAAAAAAAATGAAATACTAAAAAACTTTTGCGACTACGCGACTGTACGAGAGCGGTGGGGTACTATTAAAGTATTTTCGGTAGGTAATTGGCCAACTCGTTTTTTAATTTGCGAGACAAGAGTTATTTACTGGGAGTTGTTGGAAAGGACGACTATCAAGGCATACGTTGATCAATTAGATCGAGTCGCTTCTGAAATGAAAAAAAAGGCCAAATATGGACAAGATCATTTTGCAACATGATAACGCACGACTCCACATTGCAAACTTGACCAAGGACCAGATTGACTTGAGCTGACAAGACTTTGGGCTGGGAAGTTCTCCCGCATGCGCCTTAATCGCCCTACTCAGCCCCTAGTGATTTTCATCTTTTCAAGAAGATGGCTGTTGATTTGGCCAACGAGCACTGGATACGCGGAGGAAAAATGGATCGACTCCTTCTTTAAGCGGCAGCTCCGTAGCCTTTGGGAGAAGGGAGTCAACGATTTGCCCAATAAATGGCAACAAGTTATACTTAATAATGGTGGCTATTTTGAATAAAGAAAAACTATAGTTTATTTTTGAGAAATTATAGTTCAAACATTTACTAAAGACTTATGCACCAAACTAATACTAGTAGAAATTGGATCACTGTAGAAAAATAACCACAAATACTACAAAGTGTTCATTGATTTCTGTTATTCTAACCAAATCCAAAATAAAAGCGGCAACTCAACTTTTAAAAAGACGATTAAGCTATCTATCGGCTTTAAATTTTGCGACAGAAAACACGAATATGACATCTACTATCGGAGTAGGACAAATGCGACTTTTTTTGCGCACCCGGACATTTGCGCACCTTTTTTCCGGCACTTAGCCCATTAGCGCACCTTTTTTCGCGTTTTAAAAAAGCTCTAAAAGCTAATATTAACCAATTTCTGTTCCAAAAGTTGTTTTTCTAGCTAATTTTAGGGCGTAGAATCGAAATTTTGACATATCAGAGCTTGTGGAAGCGAACGGACGGAGTTATACAAAGAGAAAAATCAACAACTTTCTGTAATTTGACCTAGCCGTTTTGTCTTTCAAATTGGTTCCACACGTTCCGTTATGTCAAAATTTCGACTCTACGCCCTAAAATTACCTAGAAAAACAACATTTGGAATATAAATTGGTTAATATTAGCTTTTAGAGCTTTTTTAAAACGCGAAAAAAAGTGCGCTAATGGGCAAGGTGCGGAAAAAAGGTGCGCTAATGGGCCAAATGCGGAAAAAAAGGTGCGCAAATGTCCGGGTGCGCATAAAAAAAGGTCGCATTTGTCCCACTCCCATTTACTATAGATAAAACAGAAGAGACGCCTGTATTTCTGTCTGTCTGTCTGTCTGTGCGCAAACGCAACGCTCCGTAATTACGTTTGCTCTGTCGCTTAAAAGGCAAAGTATTCAGCTTTTCGGCGCGATATTTTGCTCTCGCGGGCTTTCCGCTATGGGGAATCTGACTTTTCCGTTCATTTTTAAAAAGCGGCGATCTTTGTCTCCCTACTTGTCTTTTTCTGAAATAGAGAAAATTCTTTTTCTCTTACCTTCATTCATATCGCAACTTTTAACCCGTCGTTTTTGCTCACTTTACGTTTTCCCGTTTTACTTACTTTTTGTGCCTTTTACTCAAACTTAACTTAAAGCCTTAAAGTAAAATCGCAAGAATTTACACAATCTGGCTTCAACTAACCGACTAAAGGAAATATTTTCTTTTTCGGTTTCATTTTCCCCACTAATTTTTTTACTTGGATTTCAATAGTTCCTCATTTAACTTTTATTTAGTTTCAAACAACCAAAATGCAACACGAGGATCCAATTCAAGCTTGCCTGAACTCCTTTGCCGACGCTGTGGCATCAAAGGGACTCCTCAAAAGTTGTGTGACGGGATTTGGGCAGAAATACGTACTGTATGGGATTCAATCGGTGAATCGAGGGGATTCTGGATATGAGGTTTGCCTTTTGCTTGTTTAAGAGTTAGCTGGTTGTTGTTGAAATGAATCAGCTATCAACTAATTGTTTGACTTACAATCAGTTGATTGTTGATGAGTGATGAGTAACTAGAAAAGACCTCGTTTCGATAGTTTAAGCTCGTTTGGCGTTTGAGTAGGTTGTATATATATTGATATGAATACTGATATGTTAGACTTTGTGTCAGAGTACTGATAGATAGGTGATAAATAACAGAGTAATTAAGTTAACGATTATCACCTTTGTCTCGTTTAGTTGTGGATGGTTACTGCCAACGCTCGGAACATTGAAGTGCGTTCACACCCAATGAAGGTTTCTTTTCTTTTCAGTTCGATAATCTTTCTATTAAATTTAGTTATCAACTGAGTCGATGGATCGAATGCAGATCTTGGCTCAAATGGATGCGTGTCAGAAACATTTCGCTTCCTATCCACCACCCAGCTTGTCTCATCCTCCACCATTCTGTGTGATTCCAGTGAACGCTGAGGTAATAAATCTTGTTAGTTGTCTAATAAATTCAAGCATTTAGCTGACCTCCTTATCAATGGTCGATTTATTCAATGACATGGAAAGCCTTTTACCTGGAGATGAAGTCTTCGTGACCAACTACTTGACCGATGGACGTATTTGGTATCATTCTGGGATCCACATCGGTGGCGGGTTTTTCTGTCACTTTGTTCCAACAAACGGTAACGCTTTCCATTTTAATTTTAATACTTTTTGTTAAGGTTTCAATGAAACTGATCTCAACAACGGTAAAACGGTTCCCGGTGTGGTTGAATGTGTTACGGCGCAAGGATTTTACGAGGCTGTTCCATCAAGTAAGATCTGTAGTATGTATTTATTTCATGGTTGGCGAATGAAACTCTAAATGCGTAGCCAGACGCCATAAACTTTTCTTTTCAGAGATCCGTCGTCAAGCTTTCCGTGTCACTCATCCCATACTGGTTCGCGAGGGTTTGACGATTGTCGACCAAGCAAAGCGATTTGTTGATGAAAAGGTGGGCTTTTTAAATTTGACCAACATATTTCTCATATTAGGTTTTCAATGATTACAACTATGTCAATCGCAACTGCCAACATTTCTCATCACGTTGTTCATACGACCGCGAGTTCAGCTACAATACCGACAAGCTCTTCTCTTCCAACGAGCATGCCTCTTCGCAAAAAGTTGCGACAGTTGGCGTGACGCCAATTGTTCGTCCGGGTTTTGTTGCAACTGAAGGCTGCCGACAGAATGTTGTCGGAGTTGCCAAAGTCGCACCAATGGTTCGTCCGAATTCTGTTGCAACGGAAAACTGCTTCGATTCGCCGGTTAAAGAAAATCAACATAAGGTGGGTGCAAGGCGTCTTTTACTTTCTACAATTTTTCATTTTCAGACCAGTATTGACAACTACGTAGAAGAGCACTATTGTGGGGGACCTATGGCTGAGTTTCAACACGAAAATAGACCGTCAAATCTGGTCGCCAAGTATTGTACTTCCTTTGAAATGGATGATTCTGAATATTATATTCCTATGTGAATGCACTTGTGATTTCCGAAGCATTTTCCATTTTGTGTGCTTTTGCATTTTGCTAAATTCTATTCTGTGCAATAAAGACGCTTTTTATAAAGACCGGAAAAAAACATGGAATATTTTTTAATATTCATGGAATATTGTGTTCAGTGCTACTTATGAAATACCTGATTCCGAATATTTTCCTCTGTGGGCCCTAAGAAGACACAAGAATCTCTTCAGTTTCCTCAAAGCTAAGACTGAAAAGAACCAATTGTCATTGATGCGTGGGGAACTGTGAAACAAAAAAGGTTTTTTGAAATGTAATATGCACAATCTCTTCTAACAAAGATATACAAAAGATACCGTTTTGGCAGTTCCGATGTTCCCTTCCTTCTTTGCCGTATACCCAGAATTTCTGTTTGACCATTTGCGGCGCGGGATTTTGAGTGAAAGGATTTCTCTGTAAACTGATAGCATAATTGATTTTGTCTTCATTGAAAGAGTTAAACACACGTAACTCGAAAAAAAATGCGAATGTTTCAATTTGCGAACGCGTAATTCTTGCCTGAAAACAGTTAAATTTATGGATCAAATACATCTAATTTAATCTAATCTAAAATGTACCAACAAATTTGTACATTTTGCTTGCTTTAGCCCCTACTTTTTGTGATTTGGGCGAGTTCTATGGTGATCAATATCTTTGAGCAAGTAACTCTTTGGTTAGTTTCTCTTTTAAATCCTTTTTATTCAGATCGCCTTGAATGGTGCTCTCTTTTGGCAAAAATCATCCCAATCTTTGGAGTGTTTTTGGTAGTTAGGGATTTCAAAATTTCGACTCTACTTTAGAAATTGGCTTTTGAGATTTTCGGTTCTCAAATTTGACTAGAACCAGAAACATCAAAATCCCGAGCCGCAAATGGTCAAGCTAAAATTATTCTAGGTATATGGTGAAGAAAGAATGATCTATAGAAGAAGTGAATCTTATGAAGATTGTTAACGACAATCAATACTTTAAAAAAACTTTGTAAATTTACAGAAGGATTTCTTGTTGCCATTTTCTGCGTGATTATTGCTTTCTAAGTTTTATATAAATTTTATGCCATTTCTTGAATCGACGAATAAGTGCAGGGCAATTAGAGCATTTAAGCATCATGAATCGATCGATTTTTAGATCGTAAACTTTTCAAAAAAAGATTCATTTAATTTGTTTTTGTTTGTTTAATTGTTTAATTTGTTTTTGTTGGGACAAATGCGACCTTTTTTTTGCGCACCCGGACATTTGCGCACTTTTTTTTCCGCACTTAGCCCATTAGCGCACCTTTTTTCGCGTTTTTTTCAAAAATTCCACGCCCTAAAAAACCTAAATCCTTAAATAAAACTATTCATTACTATATTTTAAGAAAAGTTTGCAAATTTTTTTCGCGCCACCTTTATAGCTTTGCTTAAAAAGCGCACCTTTTAGAAAACGCGTTGTCGGAAGTCTTGTCGGATCAATTTGTCTGACAAAAAAGTTGTCAATGAAAATTTGTCTGACAAATTGTCTGTCAACAAGGAGCACACTCTAGTTGTAATTCATTATTCGCGTCGAATAAATGTATGTCGTAGCCGATTATGAATGAAATTTTTTGGTAAATCTTTCTGGTAGAGCAACCCTTTAATGTATGAGGACAATATTATATCATCTTGTAGCGAATTCAATTCTGCGTCGATTGGTACCAAATCTGTTAGTTTAGGTTAAAAATTACCGGCGCTACAACGTTTCATTCAAAATCGGCGGGACCCCCGTAGCCGATTATGAATTTCAGCCGATTATGAATGGTGGGTCTAGGTCTAGGTCTATGTCTAGGTCTAGGTCCAGGTCTAGGTCTAGGAGCGTCCAACCATCAAGATGATTTTGAAAGTTGTGCTTTGGCTCGATGGTAAAAATTTTCTCATCTGTGAATAAGACCTTATCAAGATTCTGTCCAGCGACCAGCCTCTTCATCAATCGCGCTCGCTGTAGTCTCTTTGCTTTCATAGGATCGTCCAAGAAGTGTGCCCGGGCAATCGGGAAGACCCTAAAATTCAAAGATTATTAATCAGAACAACGTAAACAAGCATTATAGAAAAGAAACATCACAAAAACCAAAGAAAAACTTGATATCAAAAGGTCGAGAAAAAATTCGCCGTATTTTCTGGTCACCCTGTACTTTCGGATACTTTCGGTTACTTTTCAGTCTCCTATACTTTGTTCCACAGCTCGAATCTTTAGTCAAAAAGCTGATTATTGTATAACTTTTCACTAATAATGAAAAAATGACTTCATCGCGTCTGTTTTTTTTGACTTTAAAGTTAAAATTTGTTTTTTCAAAATCTTGTTTAATGATATTTTTTTTTCTTTTTGTTCTTTTTATTCTTTTTTTGTTTTTTTGATTTTTTTGTTTTTATAAAACGCTTGCGTGGTCATTTTATAAAGGATAAATGAATTGAAATCGTTTGAGGGAATTTGAAAATGAATCACAAACCCAAACAAATAGAAAACGATTTAGAAGTGAATAAATTGAGAAATTGAGAGATTGAGAGATGCAAATCTTCCCAAAAACTTTTGTCAATTCCTCGAAATGAATTCTTTGTCCTTCCTTTTTCTCGTCGTTTTTCTCCACGGAATCTCCGCTGATTTCTCGTGTTTTTTCGGGGATTTCATTTGCAAGAAAATCTCTTGCAACGTGGGTTTTTTTTTTATTAAGTAGTCTGTTTTTAAATGTAATTTAAAATGAATCCATTGGGTTGGTGAGTTGAAAACTGCCGGCTATCATCATATGTGACAGTCTGAGCACTTTCTTCAAAAGAAACCCATTTTGGTTTTGCCAATGGAAAAGTTGTAGAGAATCAAAAATCAAGCTTATATGCAAATTTTCAGAACGCTTCAAAAACTGGTTTTCAAGAAATGCCAAATTTACGAATTTTGGCGGTGGGACAAATGCTACCTTTTTTTGCGCACCTTTTTTTTTGCTGGAAAAGACCTTAGGAAAGGTCGTAGAGCTTCAAAAATGTTTCCATACTAGGGAATCGTATGCGTAGATTCCGAATTTCGACAAATCAGACCTCGCTGACACGTCAAATTTGGGCTAAAAGGCAAAAACTACGCAACTTAACGCTTTTCCGCAGTTTTTGCCTTTTAGCCCAAATTTGACTAAACCATATTGGAACCGCATCTGAACCATATTGGAACCATATTCGAAGCTCTACGGCCTTGCCTAAGGCCTTTTCCAGCAAAAAAATGTGCGCAAATGTCCAGGTGCGCAAAAAAAAAGGGGCATTTATCCCACCCCCCGAATTTTCACAAATGAAATGACCGAAAAGAAGGGGGAGGGGAGGGGGGGAGGTTACGGTATCTGTCTGTCTTTCTGTCTGCCTTACTGTACGGGCATTTTTCCAGCCGTATTTTGACCAATATTTCATTTTGGTTTTCAAGAAATGCCAAATTTACGAATTTTCACAAAACTTGCATTTGAAGCGAAACTACTAAGTGTATCTTTTAGGAAATTTGGCTATAAGTCTAATTTTTGATTCTCTACAACTTTTCTATTGACACCAAAATGGGTTTCTTTGAAGAAAGTCCTCAAACTGGGACATGTCCAGTCCTCCATTTTTGAGTCTCACACTTGTCTCACACACAAACCAAAATCCTACTACGAAAGAGGAATCCGCAAATTGCGTGTAAAATGGGCAGAAGTCGTCAATAATAATGGAAATTATTTGGAATGAATTTATGGTTTTATGTTGAATAAATTTTAGTTCAAAGTCCCGCAGGTTTCCATTCACCAACCCAATATATTTAAATGATTTTAGGACAAAATCTTTTCAATGTGCATCAACAATAATTGCATTTGTGGGCTCTCCATTAATGGTTTCGGCATTTCGAATTAACAATCGCGAAATGCATCTTCATATTTGGAGTTTAATAAAACGATTTTTAAATTTATTGAATCCGTTCCGTCGACACCCAAACATATTTTTGTGCTCAAATTTCGCACGGTTCATGACGTCAACAAAAATTTCAGTACTCAGTATCTTTTCAGTATCTTTTGCGGTTAAAATGAACTTTAACACTAATAACATACTGCTTGACTCTTGAATGTCGACGTATATAATTTGTGCATTTGATGGAAGTCCCCTCTCATCACCCAAGAAACGATCGTCGATTGAGAATTCTTTGCCTTTCTTCAGAAAAGCCACATATTCTGAGTGCTTTTCAAGGGAAATCTCGAGCTGAAGCATTATGCTTTCGTTGCTTTGGTTGCTTTGGTTGCTTTGGTTGCTTTGGTTGCTTTGATTGCTTTGGTTGCTTGCTTGCTTGCTTATGCTTTGGTTGGCTATGAACAAATCCCAACTTGATCGATAACTTTGTTTAACTTCAATTGTTTAACTGTTTAACTTCGATAACTTCAATTTTCTTTCTGTTTGGCTTCAGTTTATTTTGTCTAAAAAAAGCAATTTTGTGTCTATGCGAATCATTGAAACAGTCTAAATTCTTGAGAAAGAAGTTCATTTTTTTATTTTCTTGCCCTTAAATTTTATGAAATCCGTAAAATACCACATGAGCTAACAGATTTTTGAGCCATTTTCCAGCTCTATAGCACTTGATTGAAAGCTTTTATGCAGAAAAGAAATTTTAAAAAGGGCTGCTACGCAGGAGTACGCGATCATACTCTTTACCCGGTCTTCTATTCGAAGAAATACGGTAGATCTTTTTTCCATTTGTGGTCGCTTGTGGTTTTAGTTTTCTCAAATAGGTGCCTTTTAGCTGAGGTGTCGGATGAGTGACGATCTTGTTTTTCTCCAAGCCACCAAGGGTTTACAAATCTTTGGAGACACTGCAAAGTGTCTCCAAAAATTTGTAAACCCATCAAATCACTCTAGCCGGGTGATTTTTATTCCTTTTATAATAAAATCAGCGATATTAAAATAAAAAAACAGGTGGTTGCCGTAAAAAAATTTTTATCGTCACCCGGCCGCGATTAATACCCCCCTTTAAGCAAAAAGGCGTTAAGCAAAAAGGCGTTAAGCAAAAAGGCGTTAAGCAAAAAGGCATTAACCAAAATTCGTCATCATTTCATTTCAATTTTCTTTCTGTTTGGCTTCAGTTTATTTTGTCTAAAAAAAGCAATTTTGTGTCTATGCGAATCATTGAAACAGTCTAAACTCTTGAGAAAGAAGTCCATTTTTTTATTTTCTTGCCCTTAAATTTAAAATTTATGTCAAAAATCAAAATTTATGTCATTTAGTCAAAAAAATATTTTCTTTTTCTTAATTTACTGTTATTGAATCTGAGCTTTTCGATTCAAATATTGAAAATATTGAAACATTTATCTTGAACTTCTACTTTTTAATTATTCAATGATTTAGTGCTTCTTATTTGAACCTTTTTGTTGTTTTTGAGAAAAATCGCAAAGTACAGGATGCGCCATAATTGCCGCAACAAGATAAAGTTCTGATTTTAAGGCAGACAAGAGCAAAAAACGACAAAAAAACGACAATTTTTAACTCAATCACATTTATTGTATCATAACAATTATAAGGGCTCGCACGCGTTTCGGGAAGGCGTCAACGGCGTCAACGGGAAGGCGTCAACGGTGGCGACCATCAGCCGACCAAATAAGCTGCATCGAGCTCTTTCCACCCTTTCAACAGTGATTTCTTCAAGCTTTTGATGTTTTTGTGGGGCTTTGAACAAGCTTTGGCTTCTAGAACCGATCATTTTGCTGGTTAAGAAGACCTTCAACGGTAAATATCTTTTCATCTGTGTGCAAGATATTGTGCTGGTCGATTCCATTGAAGCACATCAATAACTGATCTGCTCTGATCAATTGATCAACGGTGACGACCAAATAGACTGCATCGAGCTCTTCTCACGCTTTCAACAGTGATTTCTTCAAGCTTTCGATGTTTTTGTGAAGATTTGAACAAGCTTTGGCTTCTAAAACCGAAAACACTGAAAAATCCATTGAGTTGAGATATTGTGATGGTCGATTCCATTAAAGCGCATCAATAACTGATCTGCTCTCAATTTTCGCTTGTTTTTAGCGGAAAGAAGCTGAGCCTTCATTTTTCTTGTAAGCATTAAGTTTGAGATTATTTTCGAGGGTCCAACGCAATGAGGTGCTTGAAATCGCCATCTTCTTTGCCATTTGCCTTGCCAACTGATTTGGCTTTGTCCAAATTCAGTCCCTCACTCGCTTGATGTTTGTCTTTGTGATAACAGTTGGGCGTCTATCGCTTCTTGGTGCATCAGCAATTGTTCGTCTACTTCTTAGTGCATCAGCAATTGTTCGTCTACTTCTTAGTGCATCAGCAATTGTTCGTCTACTTCGTAGTGCATCAGCAATTGTTCCCATAGCTTCGTAGCGTTGAATAGTGTGGAAAATGATACTTCTGTCGACTTTAAGACGCTTATGAATCTCCGGTGCCGAGACTCCTCGCTTGTGCAATTCGATTGTCGATTCGATTGGCAATTCGATGAGGATTTTCCAGCCATTCTAAAAAACAGCACATTTTATATGAAAAAAGTTTCAATTATATTCCAAATATAATAAAAACACAAAAAACAACAGAAATGAAGCTTAAATCAACGAGTAATAACTCGTTGATTTAAGCTTTTAAGCATATAACTTTATCCGTGAACACGCGTGGTACCTTGTTGCGAAAATTATGGCGCACCCTGTACTGACGCATTCAGAAATGTTGTTCAAAGCCTCGATCTTGTTGATCTTGTTGGCTTTCGTGAAAACAGGTTTGATTGGATCACAGGATTCAATTTTTGTTTTATTTAGCACACTTATCTTCCACAAAAGATTATCCGAATGTGCAGTGCTTGGTCAAAAAATATGTTTACAATCTTGAATGTCCTACTCCATTGGATGTCAAAGAAATGTGCAAGTGAGAAAAAGATTAGATGAAAATTTAAATCTACCGTAAATACTGTAATAGTACCCCACCCCCATAATGACGATGCGGAGTGTTGCGTAGTCTAGCTAGCTTTGAACGAGTTTTTCTCGACACTGGTTTATGCTACAATGTTCGTTTAGGTATCAAAAAATAGCCCTGCATTTCAGCTATTTTTTGATACCTAAACGAACATTGTAGCATAAACCAGTGTTGAGAAAAACTCGTTCAAAGCCAGACTACGTTCAAAACTTTTGCGACTACGCGACTGTACGAGGAGGGTGGGGTACTATTAAAGTATTTACGGTAATAATTCTTTATACTTTTCCAAATATTCAGTGAAACCGAAGTGATGTTAAAGGCTGATTTTGAGGACGCTCGAATCTTTGGAGCTCGAGTTGCGGCCATGCTTTGTGATGGACAGGATTCTGATGAAGGTAAATACGAAAAAGATACTAAAAGTAAAAAGATACTAGTAAAAGCTAAATTCAAACGGCATTTAGTCTTTAGTCTTCAAAATTTAGTCTTCAAAACTCTCGAATGCACACAAGAAGGGAAGAATCGGAAGGAATTCGTAAATAAATGTGGCAGATTCAATCCAAAAAGCACGGACTGTGGGAAATTCGCGAAACAAGCCCGGTTTGGCTTTAAAGTCTTCATTATTTAAAGTCTTTATTATTTAAACTCTTAATTATTCAAAAAGAAAGTTAAATTTAGATTTTAAACATTTAAATTAGATTTTAAGCCTTTAATTTAAATTTTAAGCCTTTAAATTAGATTTTAAACATTTAGATTAAATTTAAAACATTTAAATTAGATTTAAAACAAAGAAATTTCAGTTGTGCAATTGACGTGTTGAATTGTGGAAATGAGAAGGTGGTGAAATTCTTGACCGAGGTAACTTTCATTTCATTTCATTTCTAATTTAACAATTGTTTTTTTTTGAGAATTAAAGGCGTTTAAGGTAAATCTAGCTTGTTTCGCAATTTTCTCGCAATGTTTTTAAAATCGATTGTGAGGGTCCATCCCAAAACAGCGCCGCCAAAACAATGCCGCCAAAACAGTGCCGCCAAAACAGCGCCCACCAAAACAATGCCGCCAAAACAATGCCGCAAAAACAGCGCCACCCAAAACAGCGCCACCCAAAACAGCGCCACCCAAAACAGCGCCACCAAAACAATACCGCCAAAACAGTGCCCACCAAAACAATACCGCCAAAACAATGCCGCCAAAACAGTGCCGATCAAAACAGTGCCGATCAAAACAGCGCCACCCAAAACAGCGCCACCCAAAACAATGCCACCAAAACAGCGCCACCCAAAACAATGCCACCAAAACAGCGCCACCCAAAACAGCGCCACCCAAAACAGCGCCACCAAAACAATGCCACCAAAACAGCGCCACCAAAACAATGCCACCAAAACAGCGCCACCCAAAACAGCGCCACCAAAACAATGCCACCAAAACAGCGCCACCCAAAACAATGCCACCAAAACAATGCCACCAAAACAGCGCCACCAAAACAATGCCACCAAAACAGCGCCACCCAAAACAATGCCGATCAAAACAGTGCCACCCAAAATAGCGCCACCAAAACAATGCCGCCAAAACAGCGCCACCCAAAACAGCGCCACCCAAAACAGCGCCACCAAAACAATACCGCCAAAACAATGCCGCCAAAACAGTGCCGATCAAAACAGTGCCGATCAAAACAGCGCCGATCAAAACAGCGCCACCCAAAACAGCGCCACCCAAAACAATGCCACCAAAACAGCGCCACCAAAACAATGCCGATCAAAACAGTGCCACCCAAAATAGCGCCACCCAAAACAGCGCCAATGAAAAAACGCCCAAAACAGCGCCGATGCAAAACAAAGTTTTTTTTTCTTTTACAATGTACAATTCATTTTTTTTATTAGCAGCTTTTAATTTTGATAATTTATTTAAAAATAACATGACCAACAATAATAAAAGATAACAATTAAACGATGCATAAAAAACATCAAAATAGTCTCTTCGACTAATTAATAGTCCAAGAGACTCTGAAACATCATAACACCAGCGATGATGAACATAAACGGCTAGAGCTTTCAAGTGATCCGTAGTAGAAATTAAAAAGTTGGTGAAAACGTTAAAAAAACAGGCCGTAAAAGGAAAAAAATTGTTATTTTTGTTATTTTTGGTTAAAATCACTTTAATAAACGCTATCGCAGGTTTCTTATGCGTAAAGCTTAAAAAAGTCGGATTCTCCGCCGGATTTTTAGTCGGAAGCCGGAAAAAAGTCGGATTTTTTAACCCTAAAAACACAAAAAGTGGACAGAAAAAGTTAAAAACAGCAAAGAAAAAGCAAAAGCAAAAATCTAAAAAATAATTGTTTTTGCTCGTCGCTGTTTTGGGGGTTTTGGCATTGGTGCTGTTTTGGGTGGCGCTTGGTCGGCGCTATTTTGGCGGCACTATTTTAGGTACGGCACTATTTTAGGTACGGCACTATTTTAGGTACGGCACTATTTTAGGTACGGCGTTATTTTAGGTACGGCGCTGTTTTAGGTACGGCGCTGTTTTAGGTAGGGCGCTGTTTTAGGTAGGGCGCTGTTTTAGGTAGGGCGCTATTTTGGCAGCGCTATTTTGGCGGCGCTATTTTGGGATAGACCCGATTTTGATCTGATTTCTCTAAAAGTCACTTTGAAACGTTTCATTCAGGCTTTCATCAACGACGATGATCATCGTGATCTTTTCAATTGTCGCGAAGAAATCGCAAAAGAAATCGGTATCCAAGTTTGGTGAACGGATTTCAAACAAACAACAAACAAAATTGCCTTTCAATAAATATTTGTTGCAATTTTATTTAGAACCAGCCGAAAAACCCGCTGTTAACAGCGGTTTTTGAATGTTTTTCACTGACTTGTAGGTTTGATCCCTCGAGTTAAAGGACGCTCGGCGCGACTAACGCCACGCCTCGCGCCCTGCAACAATACTGGGATCTATCTCTTCGTCTTTCAAAGCAATATCGGGACCAATTCTGATACCCACCTGATTCCCACCTGATTCCCACCCGATACCCACCTGTTACCCACATGGATGCGCTCGGCGCGATTAACGTCACAATGTCACGCCTCCCCCTCCGAGACCCCTGTAATAATACCTTCACCCTGAGACAACTCAAATTTGCATACTTCAACTCCATGCTTGAAATTTAGCAATCTAAAGCAAAAAATTTATAAACGAACGGGAATTGAACCCGACACTCCCTTGAGGCCGTTTTGTAGACGGGACGGACGCTAGCCGCTTGTAGACGGGACGCTAACCACCACGCCACGCCTTACACCACTTCTGGGTAGTTTTTGTTTTTATTGTCAACTACTGTAAAACGAAAAGAGCATTTTATCTTAACAAACAAGGTTGAAAACGATGTCTTATGTTCATAATAAAGATTTATTTTCTATCATATCGTCCCCTTCCCGATTGTCCGTTCCATCCGCCACCAGAGCCGATTCGACCGAATTGCTGTTTTGCGCGCCGGAACTCATCTCCATTTCCACTGACAATCCCTTGAACTCCATGCCAGACACCGTGCGAGAAGGGACGACCTAATTTGTCCCAAGCAGCGCTTCCTCCAAAATTTCGATCAGCCCTTTCATTCAATCGGAGACCCCAATCCGGGCGTTGCTCTAGGTTCAGTTGACGCTGAAAGTTGATTACAATATTTTGAAATTTAAGTTTAGAGTTCGAAATTTAATTTTACGGTAATCAATATCGTTTTTTTTAGATCGTAAACTTTTCAAAAAAAGATTCATTTAATTTGTTTTTGTTTGTTTAATTGTTTAATTTGTTTTTGTTGGGAGTGGGACAAATGCGACCTTTTTTTGCGCACCCGGACATTTGCGCACTTTTTTTCCGCACTTAGCCCATTAGCGCACCTTTTTTCGCGTTTTAAAAAAGCTCTAAAAGTTAATATTAACCAATTTCTATTCCAAATGTTGTTTTTCTAGGTAATTTTAGGGCGTAGAATCGAAATTTTGATATAACAGAGCGTGTGGAACCAATTTGAAAGACAAAACGGCTAGGTCAAATTACAGAAAATTGTTGATTTTTCTCTTTGTATACTCCGTCCGTTCGCTTCCACAAGCTCTGATATGCCAAAATTTGAATTCGACACCCTCAAATTACCTAGAAAAACAACTTTTGGAATAGAAATTGGTTAATATTAGCTTTTAGAGCTTTTTTAATTACGTTTGCTCTGTCGCTTAAAAGACAAAGTATTCAGCTTTTCGGCGCGATATTTTGCTCTCGCGGGCTTTCCGCTATGGGGATTCTGACTTTTCCGTTCATTTTTAAAAAGCGGCGATCTTTGTCTCCCTACTTGTCTTTTTCTGAAATAGAGAAAATTCTTTTTCTCTTACCTTCATTCATATCGCAACTTTTAACCCGTCGTTTTTGCTCACTTTACGTTTTCCCGTTTTACTTACTTTTTGTGCCTTTTACTCAAACTTAACTTAAAGCCTTAAAGTAAAATCGCAAGAATTTACACAATCTGGCTTCAACTAACCGACTAAAGGAAATATTTTCTTTTTCGGTTTCATTTTCCCCACTAATTTTTTTACTTGGATTTCAATAGTTCCTCATTTAACTTTTATTTAGTTTCAAACAAGCAAAATGCAACACGAGGATCCAATTCAAGCTTGCCTGAACTCCTTTGCCGACGCTGTGGCATCAAAGGGACTCCTCAAAAGTTGTGTGACGGGATTTGGGCAGAAATACGTACTGTATGGGATTCAATCGGTGAATCGAGGGGATTCTGGATATGAGGTTTGCCTTTTGCTTGTTTAAGAGTTAGCTGGTTGTTGTTGAAATGAATCAGCTATCAACTAATTGTTTGACTTACAATCAGTTGATTGTTGATGAGTGATGAGTAACTAGAAAAGACCTCGTTTCGATAGTTTAAGCTCGTTTGGCGTTTGAGTAGATTGTATATATATTGATATGAATACTGATATGTTAGACTTTGTGTCAGAGTACTGATAGATAGGTGATAAATAACAGAGTAATTAAGTTAACGATTATCACCTTTGTCTCGTTTAGTTGTGGATGGTTACTGCCAACGCTCGGAACATTGAAGTGCGTTCACATCCAATGAAGGTTTCTTTTCTTTTCAGTTCGATAATCTTTCTATTAAATTTAGTTATCAACTGAGTCGATGGATCGAATGCAGATCTTGGCTCAAATGGATGCGTGTCAGAAACATTTCGCTTCCTATCCACCACCCAGCTTGTCTCATCCTCCACCATTCTGTGTGATTCCAGTGAACGCTGAGGTAATAAATCTTGTTAGTTGTCTAATAAATTCAAGCATTTAGCTGACCTCCTTATCAATGGTCGATTTATTCAATGACATGGAAAGCCTTTTACCTGGAGATGAAGTCTTCGTGACCAACTACTTGACCGATGGACGTATTTGGTATCATTCTGGGATCCACATCGGTGGCGGGTTTTTCTGTCACTTTGTTCCAACAAACGGTAATGCTTTCCATTTTAACTTGAATACTTTTTGTTAAGGTTTCAATGAAACTGATCTCAACAACGGTACAACGGTTCCCGGTGTGGTTGAATGTGTGACGGCGCAAGGATTTTACGAGGCTGTTCCATCAAGTAAGATCTGTAGTATGTATTTATTTCATGGTTGGCGAATGAAACTCTAAATGCGTAACAAGACGCATGAACTTTTCTTTTTAGAGATCCGTCAAGCTTTCCGCGTCACTCATCCCATACTGGTTCGTGAGGGTTTGACGATTGTCGACCAAGCAAAGCGATTTGTTGATGAAAAGGTGGGCTTTTTAAATTTGACCAACATATTTCTCATATTAGGTTTTCAATGATTACAACTATGTCAATCGCAACTGCCAACATTTCTCATCACGTTGTTCATACGACCGCGAGTTCAGCTACAATACCGACAAGCTCTTCTCTTCCAACGAGCATGCGTCTTCGCAAAAAGTTGTGACAGTCACGCCAATTGTTCGTCCGGGTTTTGTTGCAACTGAAGGCTGCCGACAGAATGTTGTCGGAATTGCCAAAGTCGCACCAATGGTTCGTCCGAATTCTGTTGCAACGGAAAACTGCTTCGATTCGCCGGTTAAAGAAAATCAACATAAGGTGGGTGCAAGGCGTCTTTTACTTTCTACAATTTTTCATTTTCAGACCAGTATTGACAACTACGTAGAAGAGCACTATTGTGGGGGACCTATGGCTGAGTTTCAACACGAAAATAGACCGTCAAATCTGGTCGCCAAGTATTGTACTTCCTTTGAAATGGATGATTCTGAATATTATATTCCTATGTGAATGCAATTGTGATTTCCGAAGCATTTTCCATTTTGTGTGCTTTTGCATTTTGCTAAATTCTATTCTGTGCAATAAAGACGCTTTTTATAAAGACCGGAAAAAAACATGGAATATTTTTTAATATTCATGGAATATTGTGTTCAGTGCTACTTATAAAACACCTGATTCCGAATATTTTCCTCTGTGGGCCCTAAGAAGACACAAGAATCTCTTCAGTTTCCTCAAAGCTAAGACTGAAAAGAACCAATTGTCATTGATGCGTGGGGAACTGTGAAACAAAAAAGGTTTTTTGAAATGTAATATGCACAATCTCTTCTAACAAAGATGTACAAAAGATACCGTTTTGGCAGTTCCGATGTTCCCTTCCTTCTTTGCCGTATACCCAGAATTTCTGTTTGACCATTTGCGGCGCGGGATTTTGAGTGAAAGGATTTCTCTGTAAACTGATAGCATAATTGATTTTGTCTTCATTGAAAGAGTTAAACACACGTAACTCGAAAAAAAAATGCGAATTTTTCAATTTGCGAACGCGTAATTCTTGCCTGAAAACAGTTAAAATGGCATTTATGGATCAAATAAATCTAATCTAAACTATATCAACAAATTTGTTGATATAGTTCTCTAGTCCGCTCGGTAAACTCGGTGATAAAAGTTTTTATGTTAAAATAAAAGAAAAAAACTTACATGGCGCCGCGTAGAGAAAAATCGAGATAAATGATGAGATTTGGGATGTGAATGACAGAGGGGAAGTGTCTCTAAAAAAGGTATGCAAATTGTAAACTTTTAAATGCATTTTCCCGTCACAAAACTCAGTTGTCAGATTTGACTAGGATCAGAAACATCAAAACCCCGAGCCGCAAATGGTCAAGCTAAAATTATTCTAGATATATAGTGAAGAAAGAATAGAAGAACTGAATCTTATGAAGATTGTTAACGACAATCAATACTTTTAAAAAAACTTTGTAAATTTACAGAAGGATTTCTTGTTGCCATTTTCTGCGTGATTATTGCTTTCTAAGTTTATCTCAATTTTATGCCATTTCTTGAATCGACTAATAAGAGCAGGACAACTAGAGCATTTAAGCGTCATGTATATGTCCACATATATAGTTTATTTCGTCTTCTGTATTGATTGAATATCTTTAAAATACAGACTTTTGCTTCAAATTTGTGCACTAAAGATTAAAATTTCATTAACCTAGACGGATTTCTTTCTGCTTTTTCATAAATTTTGCAAACCGTTTTCATCTTTTTTTTAAGTAGCTTTATAATGTTGCTCATTTCAGGCATTTGAATGGATTTCGACATGTTGAAGCTACCTCGGCCACGTTGGGAATTCACGTGCCTGGAGTGTCAAAAAGGAATGCTGACCATGTCGACGTTGAAAGAGCACATTGCAATCGATCATTTGAGTAAGTTTTGTTACTTTTTGCTGTTATTGTTACTACTCGGCTAAAATTTATGAGATCAATGCTTTGGTCGCAGCCCGTTTGGAATTTATGGACAACTCTTATTTGACAGAGTCTTGTTGGTTAGGCTAAATTAGACAAACAACGTAAAATAGTTGGAATTAAACTGTTTACTATTCAAAAGATTTTTCTTGTTTCAGATCTCGCCGCTTGGCGATGCGGATGCTTCAAAGAATTCTTCACGAGCGAAGCTCGAATTATGCACAGTGTCACTTGCGATCAACTGGTGGGTTTCACTTCTCGAGCCTTATTATCAGGGAATCTGTTTGAATTCAATATGTTTTCACTAGATATCGCGTTTAGATCATGGAGATTCCAAAGCTCACTGGATTGAATCAGCTTGATAAGTTGCAAAAGATGACTTCAGCAGCTGTAGAACATGAAATCAAAAGTTGGTGGTTTTTACGGAGACTTTTGTAAATTTTTTCTAGGACAAGCGACTTTGATGTTGGAATTTGGAAAGGCATTTATGGAGAGAACAAAGCTGAAACCAGCCGAAGTAGAGAATCTCATGCGTGCAGCGCCACTGCCAGTTATTGGTCTTGAGCAAATGTGCTCACCAACAGAATCCGATCCGGTAATGCTTCGGCTAAATACACGTGGCTTTTAAAATAAATTGACATGAAGTTCCTTAATTTGAGTTTTGTTTAAAGTAGCGCCTCCCTGATATAATGTCGAAATTTTAGAGCAAGGCATCGACTCGTTTGCCTCAGCCTGTATCTCATCTATCCGAGACTCTCACAAATTTGAAATCAACGCATGCTCCATCTAAAACAAATAGCCTGACTACACTTTGTGTTCCATTAGAATCCGACTCGGTAACGCCTTTTTGCTCAACCTATTTAAGCTTTTAAGATAAGTCGCCAATAAGGCCTTTAATTTGTGTTTTGTTTATAGTAGGATTTTCAATGTAAAGATTCCAGGACAAAGTAGTTGCGTCGTCTCGCTCACCGCAGCCTGTACCACATCCATCCGAGACTCTCGCAAAATTGAAATTTACGAATGCTTCTTCAAGAGCAAATAATTCGGGTATTACTTTGCCTTTTCATTTAGTGCTAACAAAATCTTTTAGGGAGCACCCACAAATCGCGTGCTTCAAGGTTTTCTCCCAGTAGAGGCGATCGTGATGGACACAAGGGCGACTGTAGAAAGTGCGGTATTTCAATAATTTGTTGATTATTGCAAGCAAGCATGGCGTAACATTAGTGTTTTTATCGACATAAAACTAGTGTTTAAATTTAAATAAAGGATAATTATCATGACGTTAACATCTTTTCTCAATTTACAGGCGCGACCATCGTCCAAGTCCAAGAAGATCTGATGATCGAAAATATCGTCGTCAATCTCACTCCCGTGAACGTCGGTCCTCTCATTCCTGCGGACGTCATCGATCGCCGTCATCTGATGAACGAAAGCGTCTTTCGATGTCATCCAATGACGAGAAGCCACAACCAATCACAATACGTCTTTTGCAACAAAAAGGCTAAAATCGAAGAGAACTTGGGGCTATCGGGTGAATTTTGTATGTTTGTTGTTCATACAGTTTTTTTAGGTAAAGCAGCTGAACTCTCAAAAGAAATGGAAAAAGCCATTGCACTTGCTCTCAAACCACCACCTACTGACGATAATGAAACGATGGACATGGACATTGAAGTAAGTTTTTATCAATGTCCCATCAATTCAAGTCAAATTTAGTCACCAACCGAATCACCGAAGAAAATTGTCTTGTCGAAAATCAAGCTTCCTGAACCAACAGTGGTGGAGCCGCCTCGGATAGCTCTAATGAACGAGCCTTTACGTGAAAATGACACTTTTTTTAAGGAACTGAAAGAGAGTAAGCTTTAGTAATTGTTTAAGAGAACAAACAAGTAGTATTACGGAGTTTTATGATGTGCTAAGCTGACAATCTTGAATGTTTAGAGTTGATCTACGAGCAATACATTCAACCTAGCTACAACCCTTTGGCGCCTCGTCGCGAACCATTACTTTCAACTCAGGGATTTTATGGACCCTCGGTGGGTTGTTGTACTATTTCTGCAATATTAAAGACTGTTTGTTTAGAGAACATATTGGCCCCTACATTCGGAGCCACAACAACCTCGAGTACCGTTTGCCGCCATCCAGAGGCCATGTCCATTTCACACTGGAGTTTGTCTTTATGCATTACATTTGTAAACAAGAGTTTTAGAGAATTTGCGCAAATGTTTTGCTCTGTGCGTGTCAGTTCAGCCGGGATGAGCGAATTAAGGTGAGGATTTTAGTTGGAAAGTGCTATTTTAATCATAAGTAGTACATTCATTTCAATTTTTCGCTTTTCAGAAATTTCGGAGCGGTGGTGGTTGTTCGGATTTGCGTTGCATCAAGCGTCATACTGGAAATTGTCGATCATTGTCCTACTGCTTGTGAGTTTCAATTTTTTTAAGCGCCTCAGAGCGATCTGCACTCTTTAAAACCTTTGAAGGTTATAAACTTTTGGAACTTTTCTTTTTAAAAAACAGGTTAGCTTTGCTTTTTACTCTGACTATGTAAAAATTGTTTATTTTAGAATTTGCAAGGAGCCTCATCATCAAATTTTTTGCCCTCACCTGGATAAGCCGAAGAAAACGGAAACTGAAGAGGAAGAAAAAAATGAGGAAAACGCCAAGGCGTAAAATTGCATTTGTTTTTTTGTTATTGATTTTGCTAGTTACTTTGAAAAAATAAAACTTTAAAAGCTGCACTAAAATCAGGTCAGTGCACCGGATGCCAAAAGCTTGTTGTCAATCCCGAAGCATCGATGGCAATATCAACGTCCGATATGTGAACAAAATATGGTTTCAAAAATTCCGAAAAACCGCTTCAATAAGTGCAATTTGATAAAATCGGATAAATAACCCATCATTTGACTCGATTGAGAGGTGACAGGGATGTCCAAAACGTTCAAAATCAACAATTTAAGCATTGTGGCTTTTGAAAATTCAAAAAGTTAGTGAAAACGGGGAGCTCTCGCTTCCTGCTTGCATCGATCGAAACAAAAAAAGCGATTGCTTTATAAGCTGGCAAAGTATTCAACAATAATTCAACAAAAATTCAACAACAATTTTCAACAACAACAACAACAACAACAACAGCAACAACATTTGTTGAGACTTGTATGAAGGAAGTTCTTGCATTTGGCATGCTCTCCTTGCTGTGAGCTTTTCGAATTGAAGCCAGTTCGCTTTCGTTAGGCTTGTTGCTTTCTTGCATGCTAAATCTTTGATACATACTCTCATTTCGACCGCACCCTAGAAAAACTTAAACGGCACGACTTGAAAAGATAACGCAAGCTAATCAATCAATCAATTTAAAATTGTTAATTAGCGCATGATATACATCTAAACTAGAATGCGTTCTTATTTGCTTGATTGGATGTGTTTCGATTTTGTTTTCCTTTTGCCCAGCTAAAAACTACGAGCTTTAGGAATGGAACGGGTTTTTGTCTGTGCCCGGGCACGTGATGGGAAGGATCGGGTGGTGGAAACGAGCGGCTCGACGGTCAAGTTGGAGAAAACCGACTACGAGGTGGATAGAGCCTTTGACTGGACGGCCTCACAGGTATCTATTTTCACAGTATAATAAAAAGTAGTTAGAGTACGGCTCTCAAACTGGACACCATGCTAAGAAGGGCCCTAATCTAGTCTGCAAAAATGGTGCCTCTCTAAACGTTAATAGTGCTTAAACTTGTCGAAACAGCAAAGTAGACGTTTTTATTCTTTTTCCTTTAGGTAGACGTCTATGCAGCTTTGGGAAAGAAAGTTGTCGATGGAATCACCATTGGACTCAATGGAACAATATTTGCATACGAGAAACAACCTGGAGATCACGAAACAGAATGCGAATTTGATCAAGGAGGTAACCTATAAGCATTTCTTTGCTGAAGATATTATACTCTTAAATAGATTATCATTTTACATTTGGGTTCCATAACTATAATAATGTTCACTTTTCAGGGGAATCTGAAAGAGATGGAGCAACGTTATCCAAAACCAATCTCGTGTGGAAATCGGCATATCCCCTCGACAAAGGTATTTGCCCAACTTTATTGAATTCCAATTGCCGGTTTTACAGAATCTTTTGAAAACCATATTTTTGAAAGTGTACATGATTTTGCTCATATATAGGATCTCGCTATTGCTATCGATGTTTCGATCGACAGATCGACATTGACAACAAGCTTTTGGCATCCGGTGCACTGACCTGATTTTAGTGCAGCTTTTAAAGTTTTATTTTTTCAAAGTAACTAGCAAAATCAATAACAAAAAAACAAATGCAATTTTACGCCTTGGCGTTTTCCTCATTTTTTTCTTCCTCTTCAGTTTCCGTTTTCTTCGGCTTATCCAGGTGAGGGCAAAAAATTTGATGATGAGGCTCCTTGCAAATTCTAAAATAAACAATTTTTACATAGTCAGAGTAAAAAGCAAAGCTAACCTGTTTTTTAAAAAGAAAAGTTCCAAAAGTTTATAACCTTCAAAGGTTTTAAAGAGTGCAGATCGCTCTGAGGCGCTTAAAAAAATTGAAACTCACAAGCAGTAGGACAATGATCGACAATTTCCAGTATGACGCTTGATGCAACGCAAATCCGAACAACCACCACCGCTCCGAAATTTCTGAAAAGCGAAAAATTGAAATGAATGTACTACTTATGATTAAAATAGCACTTTCCAACTAAAATCCTCACCTTAATTCGCTCATCCCGGCTGAACTGACACGCACAGAGCAAAACATTTGCGCAAATTCTCTAAAACTCTTGTTTACAAATGTAATGCATAAAGACAAACTCCAGTGTGAAATGGACATGGCCTCTGGATGGCGGCAAACGGTACTCGAGGTTGTTGTGGCTCCGAATGTAGGGGCCAATATGTTCTCTAAACAAACAGTCTTTAATATTGCAGAAATAGTACAACAACCCACCGAGGGTCCATAAAATCCCTGAGTTGAAAGTAATGGTTCGCGACGAGGCGCCAAAGGGTTGTAGCTAGGTTGAATGTATTGCTCGTAGATCAACTCTAAACATTCAAGATTGTCAGCTTAGCACATCATAAAACTCCGTAATACTACTTGTTTGTTCTCTTAAACAATTACTAAAGCTTACTCTCTTTCAGTTCCTTAAAAAAAGTGTCATTTTCACGTAAAGGCTCGTTCATTAGAGCTATCCGAGGCGGCTCCACCACTGTTGGCTCAGGAAGCTTGATTTTCGACAAGACAATTTTCTTCGGTGATTCGGTTGGTGACTAAATTTGACTTGAATTGATGGGACATTGATAAAAACTTACTTCAATGTCCATGTCCATCGTTTCATTATCGTCAGTAGGTGGTGGTTTGAGAGCAAGTGCAATGGCTTTTTCCATTTCTTTTGAGAGTTCAGCTGCTTTACCTAAAAAAACTGTATGAACAACAAACATACAAAATTCACCCGATAGCCCCAAGTTCTCTTCGATTTTAGCCTTTTGTTGCAAAAGACGTATTGTGATTGGTTGTGGCTTCTCGTCATTGGATGACATCGAAAGACGCTTTCGTTCATCAGATGACGGCGATCGATGGCGTCCGCAGGAATGAGAGGACCGACGTTCACGGGAGTGAGATTGACGACGATATTTTCGATCATCAGATCTTCTTGGACTTGGACGATGGTCGCGCCTGTAAATTGAGAAAAGATGTTAACGTCATGATAATTATCCTTTATTTAAATTTAAACACTAGTTTTATGTCGATAAAAACACTAATGTTACGCCATGCTTGCTTGCAATAATCAACAAATTATTGAAATACCGCACTTTCTACAGTCGCCCTTGTGTCCATCACGATCGCCTCTACTGGGAGAAAACCTTGAAGCACGCGATTTGTGGGTGCTCCCTAAAAGATTTTGTTAGCACTAAATGAAAAGGCAAAGTAATACCCGAATTATTTGCTCTTGAAGAAGCATTCGTAAATTTCAATTTTGCGAGAGTCTCGGATGGATGTGGTACAGGCTGCGGTGAGCGAGACGACGCAACTACTTTGTCCTGGAATCTTTACATTGAAAATCCTACTATAAACAAAACACAAATTAAAGGCCTTATTGGCGACTTATCTTAAAAGCTTAAATAGGTTGAGCAAAAAGGCGTTACCGAGTCGGATTCTAATGGAACACAAAGTGTAGTCAGGCTATTTGTTTTAGATGGAGCATGCGTTGATTTCAAATTTGTGAGAGTCTCGGATAGATGAGATACAGGCTGAGGCAAACGAGTCGATGCCTTGCTCTAAAATTTCGACATTATATCAGGGAGGCGCTACTTTAAACAAAACTCAAATTAAGGAACTTCATGTCAATTTATTTTAAAAGCCACGTGTATTTAGCCGAAGCATTACCGGATCGGATTCTGTTGGTGAGCACATTTGCTCAAGACCAATAACTGGCAATGGCGCTGCACGCAAGAGATTCTCTACTTCGGCTGGTTTCAGCTTTGTTCTCTCCATAAATGCCTTTCCAAACTCCAACATGAAAGTCGCTTGTCCTAGAAAAAATTTACAAAAGTCTCCGTAAAAACCACCAACTTTTGATTTCATGTTCTACAGCTGCTGAAGTCATCTTTTGCAACTTATCAAGCTGATTCAATCCAGTGAGCTTTGGAATCTCCATGATCTAAACGCGATATCTAGTGAAAACATATTGAATTCAAACAGATTCCCTGATAATAAGGCTCGAGAAGTGAAACCCACCAGTTGATCGCAAGTGACACTGTGCATAATTCGAGCTTCGCTCGTGAAGAATTCTTTGAAGCATCCGCATCGCCAAGCGGCGAGATCTGAAACAAGAAAAATCTTTTGAATAGTAAACAGTTTAATTCCAACTATTTTACGTTGTTTGTCTAATTTAGCCTAACCAACAAGACTCTGTCAAATAAGAGTTGTCCATAAATTCCAAACGGGCTGCGACCAAAGCATTGATCTCATAAATTTTAGCCGAGTAGTAACAATAACAGCAAAAAGTAACAAAACTTACTCAAATGATCGATTGCAATGTGCTCTTTCAACGTCGACATGGTCAGCATTCCTTTTTGACACTCCAGGCACGTGAATTCCCAACGTGGCCGAGGTAGCTTCAACATGTCGAAATCCATTCAAATGCCTGAAATGAGCAACATTATAAAGCTACTTAAAAAAAAGATGAAAACGGTTTGCAAAATTTATGAAAAAGCAGAAAGAAATCCATTCAAATGCCTGAAATGAGCAACATTATAAAGCTACTTAAAAAAAAGATGAAAACGGTTTGCAAAATTTATGAAAAAGCAGAAAGAAATCCGTCTAGGTTAATGAAATTTTAATCTTTAGTGCACAAATTTGAAGCAAAAGTCTGTATTTTAAAGATATTCAATCAATACAGAAGACGAAATAAACTATATATGTGGACATATACATGACGCTTAAATGCTCTAGTTGTCCTGCTCTTATTAGTCTTACAATTTGCATACCTTTTTTAGAGACACTTCCCCTCTTGTCATTCACATCCCAAATCTCATCATTTATCTCGATTTTTCTCTACGCGGCGCCATGTAAGTTTTTTTCTTTTATTTTAACATAAAAACTTTTATCACCGAGTTTACCGAGCGGCTGGTTGCAAGAGAGAAAATATGGAGAGAGATTCGCCCTTTTCATTTAAAAAAACCCAATCGACCTTTCAAAACAACAACCCGCTCTTTTAAAAACGCCATTTTGTTTAGGAAGCTTTCTCTATCAACTATGGGATCAATCACTCGTCAGATCATTAATTCATCGAAAGCTCCAGCAGCGATTGGTCCTTACAGGTATTGATTTTTAGACTTTCCCCCCAATTCTCTTAATTTTAGTCAAGCAGTTCGTGTCAACGAGACATTATACCTGTCGGGTTCCTTGGGATTGCATCCAGAAAAAGGGGTAGGTATCTTCTCTAACTTCTTCACATAATTGACGATTGCTTTTAGGCATTGGTCGATGGTGGAGTGAAAGAACAAACACACCAAAGTCTTCGGAACATTGGTGAAGTTCTTAAGACGGCCGGAATCGACTACAACAATGGTAGGTTTTACCTAAACAATATGGGTAAATGCTGCTCGTTTTTAGTGGTGAAAACGACAGTTCTTCTTGCGGATATCAACGACTTTGCAACGGTGAATGAAATCTACAAAGAGTATTTCAAGGATAACTTCCCAGCTCGTGCGGCTTATCAGGTTATTTTGAGCATGAAATATTTTTAAATCTCTCATTTTAGGTCGCCGTTTTACCAAAGAATGCCTTAGTGGAAATCGAAGCGATCGCTGTGATTGGAAAAATCGTCGATAAAGCCTAAGCCGCGCCTGTCCGAATGTTAAAGTTGGAAGTATCAATAGCAAGATTATTTAAGCACTAATTTTTTTTTGTATTCAAAATAAAGTTTTTATTCCTTCAAAAACAAACAACAAACGAAAAATCAACAAGCAAATTAACACTCATAAACTAAACACAAAAAAAATGCTAACAAGCGATAATAAATTGATTTAATTGGCGGAGCGAATTTCTAGACGCATCTCGATGAGACTCTTGCTGAGCTGAGACTTTACTTCGGCGGCCGAAGTCATAATTACTTCTCGTGCCTCTGTTGGCACATTGAATGGATCGGTTCGTTGGATGACTCGTTGTTTCTGTTGGGCAGCTTGTCGCAGCGCATTCACTCGGTCCATGGCTTGAACAACTAAACATTTTGACAATAAACAATAATTTTGAGTTCATTTAGAAGTAATGGCACCTAATTTTGAAATCTAAACTACGGCCTAAATAAGATTTAGAGCTTGCATAGTTTACTTTTAAAAAATAAGCATGAACTCTCACTTTTCTTATCGATCTCAGCACATGTCTTAACCAGTTGTCGGTCTTCTTCGCTTCGATCGATTGTCTAAATTTCAGGTTTGCACTTTAATTAAAAGAAACTAACCTGCAATTCAAACAAGCGCATAACTTCATTGAGTGAGTCGGTAAATTCTCCTTCAAAACTTTCCCCAGCCACAACGAGTTGCTCTTGAGTCTAAAAACGCGATAATTTGTGAAATCAAGTTTATAAATTTACCTTTTTGTTGAGCGAATCGCAAGCCTTTTGCAGTGAATCTTCCATGTGTGTGGAACTAAAAAAGCTTCAGTTATAAAGTCTCTAAAAACAACTAACCTCTTTACTCTAGCTGCAAGATGACTCTCGAGCTTCTTCAAACATTCAATATCGTTCTTCACCTCGACTTGTCGTAGCTCCAGCGCGGCTTGTTGAGCGTTTTCTAAACAAATAAATAATGAATAATTTTAACATCCTTTTTATACACTTTGATTATTAGGAGAATGTAAATATGAGACAGCAAAAAGTTACTGCTTTGCATTTGTTGAACGAGACCCGTCAATGTGGCTTCAGACTCTCGAAGTTCTTCATTCGATTTCTTGCCCATGGAGACTAAATAATGATTATCATCGAATGCATTTGAAAATTTTTGCCGATACCGCTACAATAAACCAAAAAGAACAACAGTTCTGGCCTGATTATGGTTAGAAGATATCTTCTAATGGCAATCGTTAGCTTCTTTCGCAATTTCACATAGTTAACAAACACGAATGATTACCGATAGCCGCTTTGATTGCTTGCCAATCCTTTGCATAGTTGTCGAGCAGCTTCTTCTCGTCGATTCCATCACGGTGACCGCTGTTTCGTGGTTGAGAGCCCATTTCAGTCGTTTCTAAAATAAACCAATCATGAAAGCAATCGGGAAGAAACAAAAAAAGAGAGAAAGAACATCAAAGAATCACCAAAAAGCATAACTAACCAATATTTTTGGAGCACTTAACTTAAAATAAACCGTTAAACTAGAAATCTCTTAAAAAGCGCACTTTTGTATAAAAATGATAGAAGCAAAGTAAAATCGAACACTCTTTCAAAACACAACAAATAAATTTCCCGATTTATCAAGCTATTTTTTTTGTGTCCCATCTCTACCACGATTTAGAAAACAGTTTTTAACTGGATTACTGTATCTACCGATACATTACAGCCAACTGACAACTTCTACCTATCAAAATCCTTGCAACGAAAGTTATTCGAAAAATATTTTCTTTCAATATTAAAATTGTGTTTAATTTTTGCTAGCGAAAATCAAATGAAATACTGATAAAGATATTCAGTTATTGTCTTGTTGTATTTCAAAGATTTCTTCTATAAAAGTTTTCTTTTCTTTAAAGCCAGCTTTTCTTCAATTTTTCATCCGTTTTATTCAGCTACTTGGTATATTTACTGCAGTTACACCAGTTTTCTACTCATAGCTACTTTGCTAGATAGGCTACTTTGCTAGATAGGCTACTTTGCTAGGTAGGCTACTTCGCGCCAAATTTTTTTTTGCGCAACTGGGTCATTTGCGCAAATTGCCATAACTTTCTTCTAAGTGGCCCAATTTTTCTGATTTTGGTTTCATTTTGTTGCACTTATTGAGATCTACAAAATGAAACCAAAATCATAAAGATTGGCTGACTTAGAAGAAAGTTATGGCGAGTTGCGCAAAAAATTTGGCGCAAAGTAACCTACCCCAGATTTTGTGATCCAATTTTGATCCCATTCTATTCAAAGTTTGATTTCTCATCGAATGAGATCAAAATTGAGCAAATTGGACAAAATCTGAGAGAAAGATTACGGTGTATTTCCAAATTAGCCACCATTTAGAAATCGCATTATTTGCACACACTTGACTCCAATTTGTGACTCGCGGTAAGCCTGAGGGCAAAAAACGGGGCTAGCTCTTTCTCTGTGTAATGCGAACACACAATTTTGTTTTTTTTCCCTCTTGTGGTTCTTAGGGCTTGGTAGGAAAAGAGAAAGCTGAACGGCTGCAACTTTTGTGGTGTTTCTATTGCTTTTCGCATTTACTTCCCCCCACAAGAATCAATTTTTACTTGTTCCGTATCCAGTTCAGTAATCCATTTGAATTTTCGTTTGTAAATGAGTTTGAAAATTGCTTTACCAGGCGCTGATCGTTCATGTCAAGTCATCAAAGTATACAAGTCCACCAGCAGCTACTAGTCCACCAGCTACTAGTCCACCAGCTACTACATACTACACCAGCTACATCTACAGCTACAGCTACAGCTACATCTACAGCTACAGCTACATCTACAGCTACAGCTACAGCTACAGCTACAGCTACATCTACAGCTACAGCTACATCTACGGCTACGGCTACATCTACAGCTACAGCTACATCTACCCTTGTCTACCGTAACCGTAATATTTTCAAAAACTGTTACATTTTAGAAAACTCATTTCCAACGGAATGAACTCTAATAAAGATCAAATAACTTTTGCTTCAATTAAAGAAATCCAAAGATCCAAATTAAGCTACTGTAGTGAGATAGAGTCCTCATAACTTACAGTAACCCTTTAACGGATCTAAATCTAAAGTTAAAGCAAATGTAGATTTAGATTTAGATCCGTTAAAGATCCTAACGAAGAATCTAAGTCTACCAAAAGATCTAAAAACCTTTAACTTTAGAAACCTAAAACTCTAGTACTAGAGCAGTCAAATTTCGCAATGCATTTTTCTTTTTCAGCCTTTTCTTCTTTTCAACCCGCTGTCCCCAAATCCCAGTAGGGCAATGGAGAAAAAGAGGAGAGACTCTGCAAAATTTAGACCTTTTTCTCCCCCCATTTTTTCTCTCGGCCTCATTTCGCAATCCGAAACAATTTTCCCCTCAGTTTTTCCCAGAAAAACTTGTCAACTTTTCAAATACCATCTTTCGCTTTCAAAACATCTCGCTAACATCTTTCGCTTCTTTTGCTCATCTTTCGAATTTGAATTGGAACAAATTGAAACGATTGGAACAATTGGAACAAATTGGAACAAATTGGATACAAGGATGGTTTTATTTTGATTTATTTTGATTTATTTTGATTTAACTTCAATTTTCTTCAATTTTCGAGTATGAATCTTAGGATTAGAACAGTTTTAACCTTGTCAAATGGCTCGCGATTGATCAGTTTTGATTTGAATGTAGTCTGAGCTTGATCCTGATCTTGAGCTTGATCTTAATCTTGATTTAGAGCTTGATTTTGATCTTGATCTTGATTTTGATCTTGATTTTGATCTTGATCTTAATCCTAATCTTAATCCATTTTTCTACTTTAACCTCTACTTTTTAAGGGTACTGTTCATTTTTGTTACTCTTAATTCTTCTTAAACTTATAAGAAATTATTATGTAGATTAGTTTTTTCTGTGATTAGATTTTCTGTCAGTTAAAGCAAGCCCATTAAACTGATCAAATTGATAGCTGTTTTAAACTAGCACTAGCTTTGTAAGTAGTTAAACAATATTTCTATTGAAATCTCTCATTTTCTCGATTTTTGAAGACTTTTTGACCAGAACCAGAACCAGAACAGAAGACCAGAACATTTTGAACAGACTTTTACCTTCAGTACGCCAGATCTCTAGCGTTTCAAGCTAGAGCTCTTTCAAGCGCTCTTTCAAGCTCTTTCAAGCCTTTCAAGCTCTTTCAAGCGCTCTTTCAAGCTCTTTCAAGCACCAAAAATGATTTCCCATCCCAAATATGAAATCTTTCCCTTGTTTTCTTTCTCTAACAATAACAATAACAACCAAATTTGTTCAATATTTCAATCTCCGTGCAACAGGTGCATTCGATAGTCCAATTAGGGAAATCTCTGCTAAAACAGGTGGCCAATCAGTCTAAAATGGAAACACTGAAAGTTTACTGTGAAAAGCGAAATTGTGCTTGAGCGTACGCTTTCTAAAAGATTCTAGAGTACCGTAATCGCTTATTTTAGACTATTTTAGACTATTTTAGACTATTTTAGACTATTTTAGACCATTTTAACCTATTTTAGACTATTTTAGACTATTTTAGCCTATTTTAGCCTATTTTAGACTATTTTAGACTATTTTAGACCATTTTAACCTAGTTTAGACTATTTTAGACTATTTTAGACCATTTTAACCTATTTTAGACTATTTTAACCTATTTTAGCCTGATTTTAGACTATTTAAGACCAAAATTACGCTGATCAAATGGAAACTGGCGGTTTGAGTACGGTAGTTTTCTAAAAATAGGAATTTTAGAAAATCACTCGACAACTCATTGCTTGGATATCAAAAGTTACGATAGGTTTCGGTGGATTATCGGTGGCGATTCGCGGGGATTCGGTGGCAGTAGAACTCGGTCGCAGTAGAATTTTCGGTCGCAGAATTCGGTCGCGTAATTCGGTGGCGGTAGATTCGGTGGGGGAACTCGGTGGCAGTAGAATCGCAGTGGAATTCGGTCGCGTCCGTTTCCTT